AAGGTGCGGCGGAAGTGTTCTGAAGCCTGCTTGCGAGTGAGGTTGGGAGCAATTTCTTGTATCATGTCGATGCACTCCGCAGAACTGGCTCCATCATTGCCTCTATCCATTCTAGCAGCAACGGTGGCAATAAACACTTGATTCTTTTTAGATATCACAGGCCGCTTTCCTTGGCCATTGGAGATCGTTCGTCTTTTAGCTTCATCAATACAGACATGAGCTTTGAATGTGTTGTATGGTATGCCAGCCAGCTTCAAGAATTGGGTCAAAGAGATTGACTCTCCATTGGAATCCAATGCCCTTCCAGTCTTGGCGAACCACTCCGCCTTGGCGAATTCAAACTTCTCCTTATTCGCTACTGTAGAATAATTTGCGCGCTTCTTCTTTGCACATCGGCCTTTGCGCAGGAGCAGCCTTCTTCGCTGGTGGTGCCTTTTTCTTCTTGACGGCTTTCTTCCTCTCCGCAGCGGTCTTGAATTTGGTGGATCCTTTTGGCCGGCCAGGACCTTTCGTCATCCTCACTTGCGCTGTGTCGCTGGCAAGAGTCGCTCTCTTCTTGGGCCGTCCACGCCTCGCTTTCTTTTTGAAGAAGTCCGTTACGGCAACCTGCTTGTAATGGTCAACGTGCTTGATCTGGAAGTCCCTATCATGATCGTAATCCTCTTCGTAATCCTCTTCGTCAATGCCTCCGTCTTCGTCAATGCCTCCGTCCTCGTCGTCAATGCCATCGTCTTCTTCGTCAATGCCATCGTCACTGCGGTCGGAAACGGCTCTGAAGCATCTTCGATAGACGAAGATAGATGAGGTACGAAAGAAGGAGTGTGTGTGCTTCGATAGAGGTGCTTTATGCATGTGCGAAGAGCCAAAGAGGTGCTTCGCACCTCTACGGGAGCGAAGCAACGATCGATAGAGGTGCGAAAGATAGACCTACCGCGTACCGCGGAGTTTCCTGATAGAGGTGCGTACGTAGGATCCTACGTAGATTCAGTACTAGAGGCACGACTGACGTCATCGGTCTTAATCTGCAGAGAAAAAGAATTCGTGTCAGTTGGGTGGATATCTTCAACCGCCGGTAACTCCACCAATAAGTACACTATGGAGCTGCGAGATTTATGGCATACTCAACTACATGTGTTCTATCGATTCCCCTCTTTACATGTACTATATTCGATATACATCCCTGAAGAGAATATTCCGCGAAACGGTGGGTCGTAAATCGCATATCACTCTAGTGGCCTCGTCGCATTCGTTTGCTGCATCAATGCCCTCCCAAAAGATTCCAATGGTCTGAGTGTAGATATGGGCATTCTTAAGGCGCTGGAAGTACTGGACAGTCTTGTTGCCATCCTTATCAGTATAAGTTACACGCACAAACTCCACTTCGATCTGAGCTGTGATTGCTCCTCCATTGTTAGGATCAGGGGACATGATCTCCCAGACTCCATTTGACTTGGCATGGGCAAGATAAGCGGTAGCTTCAGAAACGATCGGCATGTTTGTCGAGTCAATTGTGTCGAGTTGGAACTCAGGTTCCTACGACCGTTTGATTCCACGTTAACCTCACGCTCCATTTCTCAGTCTTCCACGCTCGTCGTTTCTCAGTCCTCCACGCTCGACCAACCCGAATCTTAACCTCACCGGTAAACACATCTATAACCCGAATCTTAACCTCATCGGTAAACACCTCTCATAGGTAAGCACTTCAACAACCACGATCGAAAGAAGACACCCTCTCACGCATGGTAATTAGACCGTTAGCCGTTAACGTCTAACCACCTCGGTCCCCCCTTTCACCCTGTGGTGGCTGCCAGGGCCTTCACCTCCCCATAGGCGAAATAAAGGTTATCATACTGGGAGCTTACAGAAAGGTGGTCGACTTCGATGAAATTAGCAATAGGAGCCTCTATGGGTGCGCCACAGCTGTGTTGGTTTAGTCGGATGGAAACAATGCTTTTGATCATGTACAGTCAATCAGTACACACAGCATTGCAGCCATGTGACAATTTGTATATAGCTGAGGCATGCCTATGTGTTCCAGAGCATATAGCCTTCTGTCTAGATATAATGGAATGATCCAGACCAACAGTCCTCTCCTAGGATCTCCAACAGTAGGATATCCTCTCCAAAAGAGCCAGTTCTGTCAACTGGAGTGAAATCGTGGTAATGGTGTTTTTAGCTTATAGTAAGAAAGATAGTAATGAAAGAGTAACCCTGAGACCCAGTAGCACCCTCAGCCTTGCAGTAGATAGAATCCTGTGTGGCCAGTACTAGGGCAATGTAACCAGCTCCCCAAGTACTTTGAAGTAGTGATTGGGTAGCATTGATCCAGCTCTTTTGAGCTGGCCTTTCAGCCAGTGGAGGAGATCTTCATCAACCAGAGATCTCCCTCCCAGCTCTTGTGCTCCTACAACTGAGTTCCCTGGCGGAATCTTATAGGACTTGCTTGGCCGATGAGTAGAAGTCATGAGGCTTATATAAATTTAACTGCTGCTCTTTTCTCAACGTGCCTCAACGCACAAGGAACCCGGAAAACCAAGTCAATTGATACCCCAAATTGCTTTACGGGTGAGTTAGTTGACTTGAATATTTTATTTAATGTATCGTACACCTTCTTTAAATCTTCAGGCAAGCAATTCAACCCAAGCACATGGTTTCTGGGGACCAACTTGACTTACTAGAATTGGGTCACAATTGATATTATCCTCTACTTAAGTTCCCTAACGGCTCCACCGTTAAGTCTTAAGTCTACTCATCCAGCCAAGCAAGTCAACTACACTCCAAACCTGAAAGTAAGAAACTCCAAATAAGAAAGCGAGTACTCAGATTTTAGAAAAAGATAAGAATTTCTTGATACTGAAATACTACAGACTTGTAAGAAAACCTCCCAGTATTGAGACCTCAAATCATAAGAAATACAACTAGTCAGATACCATGAAAATGCTTCAAACTTGTGGCTAAATCTACAGAGACTGTGGTCACCATCTCTATTTGATCCAAATCATTCTGAGCATGTTGGACCCAAAGGGGCATGTGTGCTGGGTGTATCAAAATGCCAACCTGTTCAACCTGGAAGCTTAGTAAGAAAGTCTTCTATACTGAAATTGGCTTGTTTTGTTAGAAAGAAAACGAGTAGCAAAATAGAGCAGTTGGGTAAGAAAGCTCCAGTACTGGCTCCCAGTTAGAGCTTTCTGATTATTGAGTTTTGAGTGTACCTTTCTGTAAGCCCCCACTGTAAAATGTTTTAGGAGTTGAAGAAAGCGGAGCAGTATGCATACCTTCAACCTTCTTTAAAGGGCCATAACACTCGGTTCATCGCGTTCATCAAGGGTGCATAAATATGTACGAGCAGAAGGCTACCCCGACACAGAAAGCAGAAAGCAACTTTGTCACACCTTACTTGAAAAGTTGAAAGTTCAAAGCTTGAAAGCTTGAAAGTACATGAAATAGCTACTCTAGTAATCCAGTACGCAATGTCTCTTGGCTGGTGGCCGGTGCGTGGTGAGACTCAAAGACATGTTTTATGCATAGAGTCAGACTTTGACAGCTCTCGACTCGACTCGACTCAACGACTCAATCGAACAATGATACAATGAACTACGAATTATGAAGTCCGGAGTGGCCGTACTCCAGTACATGTAGTACCGTCGAGTGGAGCGTCTTTCAATGCTCCACTCATCACTCTACACTCTCTACATACTAGCTAGCAGCCACTCTTAAACTCGTACTATAAGAGCTACTATGTACTTACTCAAGCATACCGGTTGTGCTTGGGCGACTCCTACTAGCTCTCCTACTAGCTAGACTCTACTAGCCTAGCTAGTAAGGGGTTACGGGACTCTCTGAAATGCCGCTACTCCGGAGTACTCGTGTGGTACATGTACTGGGTGGTACACTCCACAATCCACAATACTAGTACCCAATGGATCATAATCATTGTGTCCCATACTGGTACTGAGTACTGAGTACGGGCAGTTCCAACAAAAGAGATAAGAAAGCTATCTCTCATCAATGGATAAGATTGGTTGTGGTTTCAATGGCTTGCTTGGGTCCGCTAATAAGCAATTTTTGCAGTCTTGTATCTGCTGTCTTCGAAATGAATGGCAAGCAAGGAAGCAAGGCTAATGGATTCATTGATTGTTCATGTCCATGAATGCTACTCAAGGGTGCCACTTTCCAATTTCGAAACAAAGCCAGCCCATGTACCGTACGTACTCTCGAGTAGCTAGTGCTAGGAGTCGAGTGACTTGAGCAAGCTTGCTTCTGGCGGCAGAGATCCCACCCTCTTCCTATTCCCGATAATCATGTGAGCTCATGTGCAGGATATGCAAAGGCCCGAGGCAGGAAGGCAGCTGGTCGCTCGCTGGGATCAAATATAATGTATTATGTACAATGCACAGATGCATGAAGTGAAGAGTGATACATACATGTAGATACTAGCCACTAGCTAGACTACATGTAGTACTAGTAACGGTACATGCAGAGATACTAGCTACTAGACTACTAGTACTAGTACATGACATTGTAGTAGGTGATGATCATTGACGATGAGTAGACTACACAGCTACACAGTACATCACAGCTCAAGAGCATTCCAGGTTTTACAGGACGTCGCCACATGGCATAGCCACTCTTTATTACTCTGGAGTACATACTGGTTCATTTTACTCTGGAGTAGGAGTACTTGCTTCCTTGCAGCGACAGTGTATACTCGAGAGTACTTATAAGGGTTAGTTGCCGCAATTTAGGAGAGCTGAGCCACATAAAGACTGGATGCTTCAGCATTGCTTCCTGGAGACTCTTGGAACCGGCGGAAGGTCACGGCCAAGAATTCTTCAGAAAACTTGGAAATGGTTGATAAGCCACTCGAGTACTCACATTCAGATACCCCATGTTATGGCTATCAGAGATCAGTAGTATGAGATGCTTTCTCATTCAGCACGAGGTTGAGTGGTTAACGATGGAGGCGATAGTATAGCACAGCTTCAGTTTCCAGTATCGGCATCAATGTAGCTGAACGCGACAAAAGGCTCGTCATTTTCTTGGGCTTTCCCACTGTTGCTGGCATATTCGTTACTGGAACCAAGTTCCGCTTGCATTGGACCATAATCTTTTGTACTCACCTGTTGGACTGTTGGCGGTCTCCCTCACAGTCACCATGTAATTGCTGTACAACTGGGTCTGCATCACCCCTCTCTTTATTAGTACTCCAATCTCCAATGGTCGAAGAAGAAGATTCCCACTGTGTACTGTGTAGCCTTGTACAACACGAACCACGCATCGCCTAGAGTATCAACATGGGTGTGATGATGCAGCAGCAAACCTCACCTCAAGTCAGATTCCAAAGTAAGCAGCAAGAGACTTCACGAGCAACATCTCATTTCGCCTCTCTCAGTATCACTAAAACTCTGCATACCTCTTCTACCTTCCATTCATCAAACACCCTCCTCTCTCTCTCTCTCTCTCTCCTCTCCCTCCCTCTCTCCGACTCAACAGCAAGATGGACCTTCTTCAATACTGCGCTGACCTAAACAAAGAAGGAGCGGCGATGTTGGCCGCGGACAATAGCTTTGCGGCGTTTGAATACTTCCGCAACGCACTTCAGATTGTCGTGCTGGGTATCCCCAATGGCAACGAGATCCTCAAGTCCTGTCCGGCGCTTGGCAAGGCAAGCAGCTCCCTCCTGTTGGAGCCCACAACCTTCCATTGGCTTCTATGGTCTCCGCAAACGATGAACCAGCCTCCGCACGATCCTCACAGGAGCACGAACACCTTCAACAAAGCCTTTGTGTTTCAACCAAACGAAGATGGAGAACGAGAATTGGACCTTCGCATACGGACCTACATTGCTTTGATTATCTTTAATGTGGCCGCTACCATTCATCAACGAAGTGCGGCGCTGCCGCGAGAGCAACAGTGTGATCAGGCGCTCACCGTGGCGTTGGAACTCTACGATGTGGGCTTTGATCTTTTGATTCAAGAAGAGAGCTGCTGTGTGGACGATTGGTCCACCAACATTTCGCTGGCCATCTTGAACAACATGGCCGAAGTCCACTGGACGCTCTCCGACTTCAACAAGGCCAGCCGCGTACTGGAGCTGCAAAAGAGTCTCTTGGAAATCCTCTTCTCCAACAAGAGACCACACAACTTTTCGGATCAAGAAATGGAGGTGTTCATTTTGAATACTCATCTACTGCAGGCTCCCAGCGGAGCCGGAGCGGCGTAGTGAACCTATATTCTATCTACCACGCCCAGATACATTATGTTTTAGACTATACACTTGCAGATAATCCTTCGAACAGCATATCAATTTAGTTTCTGCAGTCTAGTTTCCAAACACTTTGTATTCCGGTTGGGCTCAGTCTCGCAGGTGGCGCCCTGGGAGCAAGCTGCGACCCGTCCTTCTACCTATTGTTTATCCAGCATACCGTAGTTGCTTCCGTTCTCTGTGCTACTGGTAGGCATGCATGCCAATTCGGAGAGCCGTAGCATCATTTAGCTACATGTAAAGGTCTGGCCAGCTGAAGCTTCATCCGACTTCATCTGCCCGGCACCCCAAAAGCGGTATCGCCCCTTGTCGATGCACTACAACATGTAGTCCGCCGTACCTGTGCCAATGTATGTGCCTGCGATTTAGCTACATGTACAGTCAACACTCACTTAAGTTCCGTTTTTTAAGTTCCGTTATTCTACAAAGTTCCACTTTTTCAGGGCTGCCCCCCCCCTCAGTCACTAGTTCTCATGACTGAACATGACTGACTGCTGAATGGGTTTTGTGGCTGTTTGAGGCTGGGCTGGTAGTTAGAATTTTTCAAAATGAGGCAACAACAGTCACATTTTTCTTTAAAAATTACTTAGAATTATGTGGGATTACTTTGGGATACCTTTTTAGGAATCTCATTTATACATATGAAAAGTTAGTTCAACTTTCTCTTTCTCTTTCATGTCAGACTCCCTCAGGTACTCGACAAAGCCTAAAGAGCACGTTTTACTAGCATTTGCTAGTAGTAACACAACTAGTCGACAATAGAGACACTATATGTAGAGGCGATGTGGTTCCACCCTATGAAAGATTGGTTCCTTTTACCCCCAATAACAATAGAATATGACAGGAACCACCCCAAGTGGGTCCTAAGACCACGAACGGGCCGATATGGTGATCCAAAGATCTAAAGTTCCGTAATTCAGCTAAGTTCCGTTTTTTTCTTAATGCTGGGGGGTGGAACTTTAGTGAGTGTTGACTGTACATACAGTACTGGCAGTCCAAGTCCCAGGTCACGCTGCATGTGCGTCGGGGATTAACGTACCGGGATTCCATTCAAGGCTGCTTTGGAGCCTCATCGCGGGCGCGGGGAACCCTCAAAAGCACCCCCTATGGCTATTCGGCTTTTCGGCTATTCTACTTTGTTTGCTACTCATCAGCACATGTATCCCGAATACATACAGCTATCCCTGCCCTGGCTTACACAGACTCAAGGAACCGATTGGCCGGTGCCGCCCCCTTCTAGCCTTCGCTGCCGCCACCAAGTCGTTCAAGATTCGAGAGGTCCGGGAAGACTCTCCGACTTCTCCGATGGTACACGTACACTGCCAGTCAGAGTAACGCAACAGCCGTACGGTACTGGTCTGTTCGAGTAGTCTAGCTAGAGGTACTAGTACGTGTATCTTGCTTGCTGCCTGGCTCTGTCGCGTTGATCCGGCCATGGAAACAACCATTGTAATGCAAGCTGCGGCTGATTTGAAGTCTTTTCGTAGGGTACGGGCGGTAACAGTCCTGACACTTTCCTGCACTCAGCATTCCAATGTCCTCCTCGCCAGCGCTTGCTGGTGGGTGGTTTTCAGCACCCAACACTCCTCGACATTGCAGCAGCTGCTTGGATTCCATGGAAGAGGTGTTGGTTGTAGTTTCATAAACTACTACGGTATACAAGTATGGCTGGAGGTGTAGAGGACCGTTGAAGAACTCTTGGCCTACCGGTACCAGGTTGAGTGCTAGCTGTTGCCAGGGAGGCCTGCCTGGGTAGGGAGAACGTATCTGGACATTGGCCAAGGATGTCTGCGGCAGGTTTGCTTGCTGCATCATCTAGAATACCGCACCAGTCTGCTTCTTTTTAGGTGACTTACTTATCGGAAACCAATCATTTACCACACCGGTACCAGTACCGAGAACCCTCTGCTACCATGCAGTCCTGCTTGCATGCTTTCAGATCCCCACCAGCCTGGAAACATGGAACACGGCTCAAAATAGAACACACACATGTACAGCTTCATTTGATTGGCATCTACGTACCGGTACACACGCTTAGCTATAGTTAGATGGACAGTACCGTAGCTCGCAATGTGGCTATTCACAGCTCTTTTCACCCAATCGGCAAAGTTTCTCTTGGGCCTTTGGGAGCGGTATCAAAGCTGATGAGGGACGGATCCTTTTGCTCCAGGTCGTACCGTACCTATAGATACAAGCTAGTACAGCTGCTATCATAGTAGTACATAGCAATGGATGAGGCACCGAAACCAGTGAGCATCCGCAGGTCGTCCTCCGTGCTCATTCGCGCCTATTTGCAATTAGTTGTCATTGGATTGAACAGGAAACTCCTCACACGAAAAACCTGAAAACATGTGATAGTGAAAAGCCAACAAACCGCTCGCGCAAATGGATCTTCTCTTACAGCTTCTCCCTCGATCAAAGTCAGATTTCTGTGGGAAACAAATAAGGTCATACGCATCTCTACTAGTAGAGAATGGTGATACCAAAGAGCGGAAGCATCCTTCGAGGCCCGGGAAAGTTTTGTCTGGAGATGGAGGGAGACGGCGACGAAGCTAATAATAGGAGTGGAAGGAAGCTTCCTGTCGGCAGCAGCAGCAGCAAGGCGGTTTCCTTTCCCACCACCGACAATCTACCTCCAGCCGGCAATGACAGCGACACTGCCTTTCCCACTTTGCAAGGGGAATTACTCGATACTCCGAGAGAGTTTACCATCCATTCGGCCGATTTGAGTACGGTAAATCGACGTGGTATTCATCAACATGATCCTCGAATGTTTATGAATGACATCGACTCGCCTGTGCACAGCTCTCCCATGTTTGGGACCAACTCGCCCCCGATTAATGGAGACGAATTGCTTCTTGCCGGCATGGCCGCCAACCATGCGTCTCCGGATGCTGCTGCCATGTCGCCACCAGCAGTTGCCAATCAGAACCCGACGCCGACGAATCATGCCGCCGAAGCTACTATTACCAAAGAGAGTCCTACCAACCTCGTCGCTCTTGCCGTGAATAGCGCTGCTGCGGAGATTGCCAATGTGAATCTGGCATCGTCGTCGTCATCATCCGACGAGGAATCTGGTGATGATAGTGGTGAAGACACGGAGACGGAGTGCGAAGACGACGTTGGAAAGCAGCCTTCGGAGCATTCCATGTCGGCATCCAAGCTCTTTCACAACAATGAGACCCCTCGAAACGAGCATCCCGACAAGACACAGCAGGAATACATGTACACGAGTAGCAAGGTGGCTTCCGTGGGAACTCATGCCATGGAAAAACAGTTTGAAAAGTCGGAGGTATCACCCATGTTTGCATTTGATATTGGAAATCATCATGACGACAACAGCCAAGACTATGTCCAAACCCAACTGGATAATGATGATGATGCGGAAGCAGTGGCGGTACCCATAGACATGGATCCCGAAGCGGAGGTTGTGGAGGATACTAATCCTGACGACGACGAGAACAATACACAACCATCACCCAAAAAGAAGAGAGGCCGGCCGAGAAAGGCAGCCAGCACTGGCAAGAAAAACAAGATAGAACAGCAAAAGCAGGATCCAACTGTCAAGAAAAAGAGGGGTCGGCCCAAAGGCAGCAAGAACAAGAAACGACCTCGAAATGTGTCGGAGACTACGAGTACTAGCGAGCAGGACCCAGTAGACTGTGACAAGCAAGATGAGAGCGGTGAGATCCAAGATGTTCCTTGCATAGAGACAACTACTCAACAACCTGCCAAAAAGAAACGGGGGCGAAAACCTAAGAACAGTGTCACCAAAAGGAGGGGGCGACCACCCAAGGACAAACCTGGTGATGATGTCAAGCAAGCTCCCAAAAGAAGGGGTCGGCCCAGGAAGAAAGTGGTTGACGTCGTTCCGACATATATTGGGGATGATGATGATGACGGCGACACTGATGATGTAAGCTATGTGGATGGTGGCACCGCTCCAACGGGAAACGTAAGAAAGGGCGTTCTGAAGAAGGGTATAAAGAAAAGAAAGAAAGACCCGCCCCAACACACATCCGAGGAGGTAGCAACGATGCCATACGCGAAGGAAACTGATCGGGCGATAGTTACGACTGAAAAGATGAGAGACGAGGAGGATGCTACGACGGAGGCGGCGGAAACCAGTCTTACTGAAGCCACTTTTTTTGAATCTGCAGCATTGGATCAGGGGATGACCCCTGTTGATATGACGGCCAAACAGAAAACTCCAGCATCTACCCGCAGGGGTCGAGTCACGCGCTCAGCATCATCGCGGAAACCTGCTCAGTGCAATTTCAAATCACCGAACGAAGAAATGTTGTTGGAAGCTGCTGCCAAGTTAAAATATCCTTCCGAATCCCCTTCTCGGACATCTCGCACGAGCAACCAACCATTGCAAGATACATCTACGCATGTCAGCCATAGTTCCGGTGAATCTCAAGCGGGTAATGCAAGCATCCAATGCAACGAAAGCAACAATGATCTTCCGATGTCAGACTCCACGCAAAATGGTGTCCTTGATGATCGGCCAGAACGCATCGTCAATCCCCTGACAGATTTTACTCTTGCGGTTTCCGAGGAAGCAGCATCTCTTCCGCCCGATTCTGCTGACCTTGCCCTGGCAATGGACATCGAATTTCCAAAGCCAGACACGTTTCCAATTGCCTATGTTGCTCGCAATCTGGGTTTTGACATGCCCCTGCTGGATGTGGACGCCGAGGAGCTCCCCTCGATAAAAGAGGGCTCTCAGTTTCACCGTAGAAGAGACGACAATATCCAATCCATTCCTACGTTGGGAACTGCATTCCCGACGTGGGAAGCGCAACGTTACGCCACCGGAAAGAATGCTCTGGGAGATGACAAGGATCCTTTGTACAATCTTCTAATGAACAAAAACTGGAACGAGCAGGAAGAATTTCCCACGGATTGGATCCGAATTAAGGAGAAGGATGCGACGCACATTGCAAGCCGTTGCGTTGAAGTTTTTCAGCAGCACGGCCTCCTTGGGGCCGATATGGATGTCAAAAAAGTGGTGCCGACAAAGCAATCCGGGAGAGGCAAAATGTGGGCCTTTAAGGACCTAAAAAAGGATTTGACTTACCGATTCTGGGTTGAATCAAGCCAAGCTGAATCTGGGACTGCAACCGGGGTTTTTATTGAGGATCACCGTCGCTTCAAAGACAAGGACTATATGATTGAAAGATCAGATCGATTCTATGATACCATGCTCCTTGTACTTACCTACGCCATCATGTTAGACCACGCGCGAGAATGCAAAGCAAGGTATGCGAATCTTATTGTGCAGAAATCGATGGTGGACATCATCACGACGCTATTTCGGATGGAAAAAGTGGGACATACCAAGCAACAAGCAAGAATGGTGTGTGACCTCAGCAAGTGCAGCACGAAGTACGCCGCGCTTGTCCTCCAAAAGAAATACCGAGAACCCCCCTTGCAAAGTCCCCCAAAGACAGAACGAATGTTCGTGGCACTTTCCAGCCGTCCACTGGACGAAGTCAAAAGCAACTGCAGTGTGTTCACTGGTGCTATGAATGGTGCCCGCCAAGCCTTTGTTGGACTTCGTGTGAATCTGCATGGCTCAACGGTGCACTTCACCGACGCTGAAGGTAACGAGGATCGCCTCGTGGACACTTCTGACTGTTCTCAAGACCTCAGTTGGAATTTGCTAAAGTCCTTTCGAGTGCGATCTCAGACTGTATCTGCAGTTGAAACGGCGCAATCGTCTCGACCGGACGAGGACGAAGTTCTGGATTTGCTCAGACGCAAGCAGAAGGAACTTGCTGACCTTGAGAATTCCCTTGAACCCCAGTGTCATTGCCTTTTGAGCAAGTTGGTGGAAGAGCGCAGAGCTCACGAAGAGCGCAAAAAAGAAAGGCAAGAAAGGGATCGCGAAATCATGGAATTGTACAAGAGGACGTTGAACCGGAAGGACGTCGCCGCGGCCTACAAGCAGCTCAATGACGATATGGAAGCAGTATGTATGGTTTGCAATGACGGGTCTGTGACACACAAGAACAGGATTGTGTTCTGTGATGACTGTGACCTAGCTGTTCATCAACACTGTTACGGAATCGACAGGGTGCCCGAAAAGAAGTGGTTTTGCAGTCTTTGCACCGCCAAGCGTAACGGCTGGAGGCTGCCGGAGGAAGGCCTCCCGAGCTGCTCTTTTTGCCCTTGTTCTGGGAGGAAACTGGGAGGGTATCATCATGTTGCAACTCGGACGCAAGATCAAAAGGCGTCGACAAAGTGGGTACATGCTCTCTGTGCAAAGTGGCAGGGTATTATTCCCATTCGCGACAAAGAATCTGGGTGCTCCATCTACATTGCTCATTCTGACTTTGTCGCCAAGTACCGCAGGGAAGGAACCACATGCTGTTTGTGCCGAAGTGATCGGGGCGCGTTCGTACGGTGCAAAGTTTTTGGTTGCAACAATCATGTGCACGTTAGTTGCGCCAGTCAGTCACAGCAGTGCAACATGATTCACGGTGAAAGAGCCCGCGGCCAAGCTGCCATGTGTGATCCGTGGACGTTAACTTGTCCCGAGCACTCGGACATTGCTGCTCAAGGAAAGGGAGTGTCTCTCAACGAACTAATTGAACAAGCTCAGCTCTACGAGTCAAGAGCCCAGAATGCAGCTTTTGACCGCTTTGGAACTCCCGCAAAGACTCGTCGCAGGAGCACACCGAAGTCCCACTCCTTTGCAAGCTTATCGAGCCAAAAACAAAAGGAGATGTTGTGTGATAGCAATGGTGAGCAAGCATTCCTTCAAGAAATGCAGAGTTGTTTGGCTGGGGCTAGATGTGATGTCTGTGACGTAGACTACGGGGAGGAGCTGCAGAGATGCTTATCTTGCCGTGCTCTACTTTGCCAATACTGCACGGAGACTTCAGAGTCAAATTATCTTCAGACTGAAGGGTTTCGATGTGGCGGTTGCAACTTTATGGCGAAGCAAGCTAAGGAAACCAAGTCGCCAACAAACCCCCAATGCAGTGTCTGCTTCCAAAAGCATGGATGGTTGCGAAAGGCAAAAGCCGATCCAATGCCCAACAAGCTAAAGACGTTAAAGAAAAAGGGGTTTGAAGGAACCCTTTTTGCCAAAGAGCTCTGGTGCCACACTCTCTGCGCTCGGTACGTACAGCGTTGAATGTTCTACGTCAATCAAAATTGAACAGGCAAACTCACATTGTGTTCCCTTTTTTTGTTACACTGAAGGATGTTCCTTTCCCTTGAAAAGCAAGACACCAAGGACGGCGAGGTGGACCTCTCCTTGGCTATCTTATCAAATGGAAAGAACTTTATCCTTCCAGCAAAGGTGTGCAATCTTTGCGGGAATTCTGGCGGCATGAAAGACCCTTGCAACAACAACCGTTGCAGGCAACCTGGTAGAGGTCGCCGAGGTCCTTTTTATTTCCATGCAACCTGTGCCCGACAAGCAGGGTTCACTGCGCGCCCACGTGATATTCAAACTTACAAGAACTTCGAACTCTATTGTTTCCGTCACAGCGTAACAACAAACAGCTTAAGGGCGAAGATTGAGGACCTTCTCGACACGGAAACATCTCGCGTAGTTGACTATGGATCAGAGGAACCTCTTACCAATGCCTTTGCATCCACTATTTTGCGAGCGTCAATTGAGATTCTTCGCATCCTTGGCTGGTCGTGGGCCTGGGAAGAATGGTGGGTTAAATGGAATTACAACTGGGAGCCGTTTATTGCAGAGTACAAGGTCAGGGAAGGGAAGAAAGAAGAGGATCTCACCGACGAAGAGAAAAGGATATTTCACAGCACCGAAGAGAGCCGCTTGGCTGATGCGAAGCAGTGTTCTCTCGCCAGTTTCGGGGCTGCTCTAAGGAATCGAAACTATGACGTACCTGATGGATTCGATAACGAGTCCTTCGAACGGGCGTTGAGGGCCGTGCTGAAAACGCCAAGTGTTGTTGGTCCTCTGCGCAACGACCTTTTTAATGAACTTGAATTCTTGGTGGAATGGCTTGGAAGGGCGTATCGATCCAAGTCGCGTGATCTTGGGTTCGGTGATCACAAGATAGAATGCGGCGACGCGAGTTTCTTGTTCGAGAGCACGCGGGCAAACAAACTGCCAAAGTTTGAGCTAGGTAACAGGCCTCTTCCGGGAAGGATAGAGCCGGCGGCGAGAGCTGTTCGTCGTGTGCAGGATACACCGGCAGATCAACCGAAGGTATCTCTGGAGAAATCGCCGCAAGTCTGTAATGAGAGATTGTCTTCGAAGATGCCGTCGAAGGATGACCCAAGTATTGATGTGCAGCAGGCTTGTAGTGCCATGGTGCAAGTCAGTGCGGTCACGTCAAAGAAACCTGAGTCGGAAAAACGTACTACAAAGGCCGCCGAAGGGGATGCGTGTACTCCTCGTCCAGACGACCAATTTGAAGCAATGCCAGAAAGTTGCCCCAAGCTGGCGTCGGCCGAAAAGGCCAGCCCGTCTCAATGCATGGAAAATAGCGAAGGGACAGAGATTGCCGAGTCGACAGAGAAGGCGGCTGGGAGGGAAGCGCAGCCATCTCCCACGGAGCCATCTCCCACCAACATTCCAAGGAGCTCGCCTTCAGAACCATCGGAGCTGCAACAAAACATGGAGCATGACGACGGTGCAACAACCGAAACCGAGGCTACCTTCCAATTAGACCTTGGCAAGAAAGCAGTTATTTTCCCCGTATCCAACGGAGGAAAGCAAATACCCCGTCGTCGACCGAGAACGAATGACCATGACGTCTCCAAATCGAAGGCGCGTGGCCTACCGGTGTCCAAGAAGAAACGTACACGGGAGGAAACCGACGAAGCACCTTCTGCCGAGAAGGTTGCAAAGCGACTTGCTGGGGGGCAAGACGGGACTCCTTCGGTATACTCGAATGAACATGATGGTGCAAAAGCTGCAGCTCTGGAGGCTCCCGAGGACTTGAATAGCTCAGCTAAGAAGCGATCTCTAGCCCAATTGGAATGCGGCGAAGATCCTCAGATAGCCACGAAGATTGAACACGGCCACACCGCTGGACAACAGCACAATGATGATGCAGAAGAAGAGGAGGTGGAAGAATCTGACCAAGATGATGACAGCAGCGACGAAAGCGAGGCGTCTGTGAAAACATACAATACCTGCCGGTCTCGAAAGAGCTACCTGCAGATTGCTACCGCTAAGCCCAAAACGACGTTGGCGGCTTCTCTGGTTGCAGAAAACTCAGGGAAAAAGTTGGTGGGTTTCGCCAGCGGTGCACCGTCGAGCCAAGAGGCCAATGAGTCAGGAACTCCTGCTATGAATCCCCTGTCCAGCGAACGGATGGCAACAATTGCTAGTCCTGCGATGAGAAGTATGGGCAGTAAGAGGGACAAGAGACCAGCGCAAGTGCAAAGCCCTGCAGCGGCAAGTAGGGCAAGCCTACGACCAAGGAAGCAGAAACCAATGGCGAGTTTCAAGCCGAGAATGGAAGACAAGCCCGAGAACACGGAGCTGAAAGATGTAGTGAAACGGGGCAGCGTTGTTGCTGACGAGAACCACGACGAAACTCAAGCAGGGCTGAAACATGGAGTGAGTTTCGAGTTCGCTGATGACGACGACGACGAAGATGAAGCAGATCAATTCAAAATTGGAGTCCCAGGGAACGGAGTTCTCTCTGAAGAAACCGACAATATTGGTGTGAAAGGGGCCGGCGTCCCCGCTGAAGAGCCTGAAAATGATGAAGGAGAACTGAAGCTTGGTATGAAAGGGAACAGCGTTATCGTTAATGAGCATGACGAAGACGAAATCTACGACGAAGGTGCAACGCACACCGGTCGCAATATCGCAGGAAATTCGGATGCGGTTTCAGTACTAACTGCATGTACGCACTTTCCTTCCACTCCGAATAAGGGAGCATTTGATCAGAAGAACGTGGATGAACAAGTGAAACAGGCTCAGGAGGATGGATTCGACGGCAGCGATGTCAAGCCGGAGCACCTAGCTGGCTCACGAGGCAATCACATGCCCATGGTCTGCAGAAATTTTCCTCGAAGATCGTGTCTTCAGTGCAAAGAAAAAAATCAACATGGCTGTGCCGAGTGCTTCCTTGTTGCCTTTGAACGAAACTATGATGTTCATGTTGATCGAAGCGACTTGCCGCTCTATCTCAGAAACAAGACCATCCCAATTTGTTTGAAGTGCTTCGATGAGTGGCACAAAGAAGGCATGGGCATGAAGGCGTCTTAGTTTTCCTTGTTGATGTCAGTGACATCCGGAGCATCCAATGATGAGATTCAATTCATCAATTTTAATGTATATCCTTATATGATACTAATCTATAGCCGGCATTGCTCTGCTTGGCTGCTGTGCTCCAAAGTAATCGATACTCAGTAGAGATTAGCAGTACTGTACTAACAGCAAGCAAAGAAGCTTTCCTTCGGTCCATCGAAGCTGGCTGCAAGAAGCTACCCGTCGTCCTCTGCTGGCCTTCTCCTAACTCCTTCAGTGGGGCTAACACTAACTTGTAACCTCCCAACAAGGACCCGCCTCCACTACATGTACCGGTATGCATACTTGTACTGGTACCGGTACATGCAGCAAACTGTACCGGTACCGGTAGAGGGTAAGTTTGCGGTGAGTGCAAATTTGAGGGAGCAAAACTTCACTCCGGAGAGGGAGCAAAACTTCACTCCGGAAGAGTTGTCAGGAGCCAGCTTTGCTGCCTTGTAAATGATGACGTCTTCTTCATGATCCATGAACAGTTCAGTCCACGAAGTTTCCTCGCTCCCGCGCGCCCTCGCAACGAAGATCCTCCAGCACCGGCGACTGGAGCGATCAGCAGCAATCGACAGGAAGAGGGAACCCAAGCAATTGATCCAACCAAGCGGCAAATTAATTTGGCAAGGAGACGACCGACAGCAGGGAAAGCAGCATTTGCCGTGCATGACATGCATGCCCTTTGAAAGCAGTTGGCAAGAGAGGCACAAGCAGAGTTGATTGACTGATTGAAGAGCTCCGTTCTGCTTGTTTTTGTGTGAATTAGGAGACACTGACAGGTGCTCTTGTCGCCTTGTGGATTGACGCTTGTCCGACAAGGTTCACGATCGTCTACGACACACGTCTCTGGACAATCCTCCCAAACCGACACACGGGTTGCTCCAAAAGCGAATACGACGGAACAAACAGATAATTTGAGCAAAATGGAGAGCGCTGTGAATGAAGGTGATGAAGCTCCCTCGGAGATTCCTCCTGGAGCCCCTGTCATCCTCAATAAGGACGGCAAACCTCGAAAGAAGCGTGGACGTCCACCCAAGAATCCTGCAGCTGCTGCGGCTCCAGAGGCTTTGCAGTCATTTCCTTCTGAAACCAGAATGAGTGCTAGACGAGGTAGACCGCCCAAGAATAAAGATCATCAGGACGAGCAACAGCAGCAATCTGGATCCAAGAAACCTCAGGCAGATGGCGATGCATTCAATGAACCGCCGATTGGCATGGGAACAATGGATTTTATACGACAACAACAGGAACAAGCCCAGGCACTGGCGCAGAATTATGGGTCGATTTTGGCATCCCCAGTGGCACGCACGATGATCCAAGCCCATGCTCTGGGTCAACCAATGCCCGAAGGAATTGGCTTGCCACTTCAGGGAAAATTGGCAACCGCTCCAGGTGCCACTACTAGTGCTTTTAAACCCACTCACGCTGGGACACTCACGGCTATGGGCACTCTCAAAATTTCAGCCAATAATGCACACCACAAGAATAGCGGAAAAACCGCTGTGACAACTCTGACATCCACCAATCAGCATCCACAACAAGGGACTGTAGCGCCTCACTTAGATGGAACGCTCCCCATGTCGCCTCGAACCATGTCAGTTTTACTAAAGGGCAGCACAGCCGTGGCGGAAGATATGGCACTGTCGAGTTTGCCGCTGGCGGCTGGTGGTGGTGTTTTGACGGGGACAACTATCACTGGCCCAGTGGATCCTGCCACTGTGCAAGACAGTATCAATAATAAGGCCAAGAAAGGGACGGGCATGGGTAGACCATCAGCAAAGCAGCAGCAAGGGCAATCAGATGAAACGTCACAACAACAACAACCACAAAAGAACAACAAATCATATAAACGAAAGGGCAGCGGGGCACGAAAAGGGGGCGGGGCTACTACGGACCCAACAGACACGCGCCCCAGGGTCACCATTACTGATGACGACCCACAACGACTTCTCAACCCACTGCTTGATTTGCCGCCTCCCGTCCTACCAGCACATCACCACAATCGTCATAGAAGCAGCATTGTAAGCGTGGGAGGAGAAGGTTCGGCGGCTGAAACCCCACTGCGGAATATCATGCAAGCATCGGAACTGCAGGCGTGGCCATCCATTGTCTTCACCCGTCCTGACACCTACCCTATCGCTCAATACGCCCGGTGGCTCGGATTCGATGTGCCTCCGGCTGACGAAGTAAAAGACGTGCCCGAAAAGAATTACTTGCCACCTGATTCTACCGAGATTCCGTTTGACATTGCCAGAGATGACTCTCTTTATCACATCCCAACAGCGGGACAATTCGCAGAACAGGTTTGGAACGCGACGTATAGTAAATATGATGATGAAAACGGTGACGCGGCTTTGGAAGGATGCATAGATCCCTTGTACAAAACACTTCTGGCCGGGTCCGATGATTGGACCGTCGCGCAGGGCAAACCTACCAGCTCGAAGGGCCCCTTCAAAAATCCTCTGTCGCATCAAAGCACCAAGTTCAAGGCAAGTACGCCGTCACCAGATCGGATTCAGCAAGTGCTGCAGAAAGCACAAGATTATGGGATACTGAAAGCTGAGAGATGGTCGCTTGCGCACGTAAGCAGGAGCAATGCGTCCGCTACAATTGCTGCAGGTGCTTCAACGACGGATCCATCTTCTGGCAACCCGTTACCGAACGCCGTGCCCAGTGCTCAACCAACTGGAACTAGTGTTCTTGAGAACATTCCAGGGCCGAAAGGACCCGCGTCCGCTGCGGCACAATCAACGGCAACTGCTACAACCACAGAACCATCAATAGGAGACGCAGCAGCGGCAATAGGGACACCTGCCACCTCAGAAGCTACAAAATCCTCTGGAATGTGGGGATTTGCGGCATGGCACAAGGGGCGGGAAAACGATGAGCCAGACCTGTCAATGGTCCTCCATTATCAATTTCAGTGGTATTACCTGACTTCCTCCAAAGACCAAAAGATTGCCGAGCTTGTGATGCGGATACCGCATGGTCCAATGCCTACAACCTTGGGCAGTCTCAACGTTGCGAGCCCTCCGCCTGGGGAACATGACTACTTCGCAGATGATGTCTCTTCGAGCGCGGGTTCCGACTGGGGCGTTCTGTCCGAGAGACGAAGATTGATCATACTCTTGTACGCATTGGTTCTAGAGCATGCTCGTCAATGTGACGTTTGCTACTGCCTGCTCCAAGTGCCACCATCCTTGGTTCCGCTGCTGCAGCAGTTCTTTCGAATGACACCAGTCCCGCTGAAGAAGAAGAAGAAGCTGCCAACAGGTCCTGACGGCCTCACGCCCACCGCCGCAGCTTCGACCTTTGTGCCGATGTTGTGTGACTTGCACAAATGCAGCACAAAGTATGCTCTTTTACTTCAGAAGGAAATTCTTCAGGACAATACAACATCCTCTCAATCAACAGCGAAGTCTATCCCTCCTACGATCAAGCATCGAATTCTAGTGCGACTTCCAACCGCTAGTGAGCTCAACTCGGCAATATCGGATTCGCAAGGTCTCCTTCCATCCAACCTGCAAGGCCCCAACGGCCTCGCACCTGGCATCTTACCCAAACCAAAACGACAACGCAAAGTGATTTCCGAGAATGGGTCGTCCAAGAACGGGGCAATGTTTTGCAGCGCTCCGGGGGCAACGCGTCAAGCTTACTTGCAACTGCGGGCCAACGTGGATGCGGAAAGAGCAGCAACGGTCCCAACTGACAAGTCGTGCGTGGACGGTCAAGAAAGCGGCAGGAAAGATGACGTAGCCTTGGCACAGCTGGCCTCCTCCAATGAGGTGGGAAATGCGCAGACCCAAGGCGAAGATGCGGGAGCTGCGAAGACTCCGGCTTCAGAGGTCGGGGGAACAGATGGAGAGAAGGATCAAGACAATCTCGCAGCAAGCACCGATGGGACGGATGCGACCAGTAAACAAGGGGGAGAGACTGCTAAGACAGCAACAACAACGAGCTTGATCCCAGATAGCGCCACCAAGAATTCTCCCGTGGAGCAATCCGAGACTGCCAAGCAGGTTCCAGTAAATGGCATACGAGCAACCATGCAACGCGAGGAAAGCGCTAACGCAAATGTGCCTGAAAAAATTGAAGGCAAGCCGAGCGCAATCCCGACCAATGACAGTGTGGCGCAACTCCAGCCCAAAGTTACTTCGACAGTCAACGCCCCAGCAACCCCTGAAACTGCTGCCAGCCCTGAAGCATTCTCAATTGAATTGGAAGGTCGGAATCGTGAAGGCAAGGTGACAAAGACTGCTGCTGGTGCATTGCCGGCATTCTCTCAGCCGCTTAGCTGGGATATTGTGAAATCCTTTCCAATCGTGGTAAAGAATGCGCAGGGGAAGCCTGCTGATGCTGTTGTCGTTTCTGATCCAAAGGGAGAACAGCAAACTCCGCCAGAGTTAGAGTCGTCTCCGGCGATTAGCTCGAGCGGAGTGGTGCGGGAGCTCAAGCGTCTGCAAGAGGAACTGACAAGGCACGAAAGAGAGTGCTTGGAGCCAAAAGTACGGTCCCTTCTATGGAGAGTGGTGGAAGAGCGGCGCCAATTTGAGAAATCGGACTTTAGCAGGAGACAGGCCGAAGAACGGAAGGTCCTGGAAACCAGCGAAAAACTTTTGGCTCGAAGGAAAGAGTTGGATGAAGCATGGCAGGCTCAGTGTGACCAGGTTTGTAATTTCCATGATGGAAAAGTTCCTTCTGACTTCGACTTTTTAGCTAATTGTTGCCTTTTGGAACTTTTGTGTCGCACAGGATATGGATGCTGTCTGCGAGATATGCAACGATGGCGAAGTCACGCCCAATAATCAGATTTTGTTCTGTGAGGCTTGCAATGTTGCAGTTCACCAGGGTTGTTATGGTATCGAACGAGTTCCTGAGGGAGACTACTACTGCTTAGCGTGTCAACATTTCGGCCGCAGAAAAGTTGACAGGGACGTCGAGCGAAGGAGGCTCTACCGAGCTGCTGCTGTTGCGGAAGCCGCCGGAGAGACAGACATTGCTACCATTGTGCAGCAGGTGCCCCAGGAGAAGATCTTTCCTGCAGCTTGCGAACTTTGTCCAATTCGTAGCGGTGCATTTGTTCCGACAGACAATTACCATCGCCGGAACAAGATTAGGTTGATGAAGCAGAACGGCGGCAGTACACAAGCTAATTCTGGCAACAATGCACCCGAGGAAGATAAATCAACATGGGCCCACATGGTGTGCGCTAAGTGGCAGGGTCTCAACTTTGTTGAAAACGCGAAGCCCGATCTTCTGATCGAAGACGTTACCGAGTTGAAGGCGCAATATCGGTCTTTGGGGTACACTTGTTGTTTATGTTTGGGGGAGAGGGGAGCATTCATCGAGTGCCGCTTCGAAGGATGCACGAACAGACTTCATGTCATGTGTGCCCGCTCCTCAGGGCTGTGCGACGTTGTACATGGCGAGGATGCAACGGAAACCCTCAAAGAGAATGCGTGGTCGCTTCTTTGCCCCGCTCACTCCAATCGTCCCTTCCTCAGCCCAGATAAGATGCCACCAAACGTTGTTCCTGTGCAGAAACTGGTTCTTATGGCCAAGAGTTTCCCACCAGAACCCAAGCCGGATCCTCGTCTGCTGTATGCAAATAAATGGCCGGACAATCCGTTCAATAAGTTGACGGGTCAAGAGAGAAGGGAAGCACTTGCGAATCCAAAGTACGAGGACCATCTAATGTTGGAACTCTCAAAGAAGCTTCTCGGTGTTCGTTGTGAGGTTTGCGATCAGTGGGAAGAGGATGGGAAAAGCTTGACGCGTTGCAGGGGTTGCGGTGTCGTCTTTTGTGATTCATGCCATGTCGAGGGAGACGGCGTTTTAATTGAAAAGAGGCAGCAGTTTAGGTGCGCTAAGTGTACCTGGCAGGCAGAGAAGAAGAAACTGAAAGAAGAAGTGGAGGAACCGCAGTGTGTTGTTTGCAACATGAAGGGAGGCTGGCTCCGTCCTGCAGTCGCCAATCCAATCAGCCGAAGAGATTACTGGAACAAGAACCACAAGAAGCGGGAAAAAACCCTTTTCCGGCGACCGATTTGGGTTCACACTCTTTGTGCCATGTACGTTCATTCTTTGGATGCACTTGTTGTCTCCTAGCGCAATCCCTCGCCTCACAAAAATCTATGTTGGTCCTCTCTTTGTGTCTCAGGTGGTGTGCCCCTGCAAAAATTCCCATCGACGCGGACACTGGAACGGCAGATTTGTCCCAGCTTGTCATGAGCGACGGTCGTGGTTTCGTCAGAGCAAAAGACGCTTGTTTCCTTTGTGGTAAAGCGCGGGGCTTGAAAGAGCCATGTGCTGAGGAGGAATGCCACTATGCAGATGCTGGTAACCACAAAATGCCCTTCTTTCACCCTACATGTGCCCGACAAGCTGGTCTTGAAGTCAAGGACGACAGTTCAAGGGACGAGATTTTCTATGGTAAGTTAAGCCTGGTTGTGCGGTGTCGATGAACTTGCACCAGAAGCTAACGATGAATGTTTGGTTGGTCCAGTCAAATGCTATAGACATGGCGGGAACGAATTCAATCTACGAGCCCGCATTGAGGATCTCCTCGAGATCGAAACAAAGCGTGCAGGGAAGAATTTCGCGAACCAGGACGCAATGATGACATTCTCTGATGCATCTCGTATATTCAACGCTTCGATCTTGGTCATGCGGGTGCTTGGCTGGGCATGGCGTTGGGCCGAATGGTGGGTCGAGTATGGTTCCAACTGGGAACCTCTCCTGGAGCCAGGTCAAGATGAGACAAAGATGACCAAGAAGGAAAAGAAGATTGTCGACAGCACACAAGGGAGTCGGCGCGACGACGCGAGGCTCTGTCGACTTGCTGCTTTTGGAGCTGCGTTGAGAAATAGGGCATACGACGTGGAAGACAATGGCGACCCTGATTTCATGGGAGGATTCGACCACAGGTCTCTCGAACAAGCCTTGCGCGCTGTTCTGAATACGCCCAGTCTTGTGGGGCCACTGGAAGACTACGAAATTGACTTTCTCGTGGACTCGCTTGGTAGAGCCTACCGGTCAAAGTCGAGGCTTCTAGGCTACGGCGATCTCAAGGTTGATCTCGGCAAAGCAGGTACTTTCTGTTTTCACAAAAAGGACGAGTCACCGAAAGGTGTATTAGGCGATCATCCACTGCCAGGCAAGCAACTGCTGCGCGATGGGCAAGTCTTCGAGGACAAGGTTGACGAGGTCGATGATTTTGAATTCTACATCGATGTGGTAAAGCAAAACGAGGCTGAGTACAAAGCCAAGCCGAAAGAGCCGGTCAAAGCCAAAGGCCCCCTCAAAAAGAAGGCTGCTGAAGCTGTCAAGAAGCGAGGTCCGGGGCGGCCTCCGAAAGCCAAGCCAGAAGTTGAACCGGCGTCTCCTGTGAAGCGAGGACCGGGGAGACCTCCTTCAAAGAACCGACAGAACGGAGAACCATCAACACCGAAGCGCGGTCCTGGGAGACCGCCAAAGAACCGGGAGACGCCGTCAGCGCCAGAGTCGCCAAGTAAGCCATCAACTGGCCGAAAAAGAGGCCGACCTCCCAAGAATCGCGCACCTGAACCGGAAGCCGCATCGATCGAAGGGGTTGAACAAGACGCGGACTCTCGAGGAGTTGCAAGCCCAGCACCAGCTTTGGCAAATCGTACCAGCCTGGAGCCGCTACGGAACCGTATAGAACGAAAGCGCTCCAAGAAACGTCGTCGGGTGTCTGGAGGAGAAGAGAGTCTTGAGACAGAGAACGACGAAAAACCTGCTATGGAGGAAACCCCCGATGACGCTGCCAAAGAAACAAATGCGACAAATGGCGATACCGCGGCAGAAAGCGAATCCGGTACAGTTGGTGAAGCAAAGATAAAGGAGGAACCTGTAGCTGTTGTTGCTCCTGTGAAGAGAGGCCCGGGTCGTCCGCCGAAGAAGAAAGGGCCCAAACCTCCAGCGGAACCGAGCACAGAGCCTCGTCCGCGAAAACGGAGACGTGTTCTTGGTGGTGGCACATCGATGTCAGAGAGACCAGGTCCACCCGTGCGAGTGGCAACTGCTGAACCCACTGTCTTGTACGACACAATAAAGCAACGATCGAGGAGAAAGAACCAAATTATGAGTCTTGAACAGACCTCTGGAAAGTCCTATGATACAGCCGAAGAAGCGTCAGAAATTAATGATGACGCTGCCGACTCAAGTAGTGACGAGGACGGTGACCTTCCAATCGCGGCCATGGCCAAAGCAAGAAAAGACTCGAGACCGAGACAAGAAACTGTCGTGGGGATTAAGAATGAGAATGAAAATGGAACCACGGTTGTGAAAACCGAGGAAGATAACACCAAGGCCCAAGCACCAGACGCCACACCAACTGCCGGTGTCGATGATGATACTCCTGTGCCTGCTGTCGATACCAATGTAACATCTGCGAGCAATGTTCCCGCCTCTGAAAAACCCCCAACATCTGCCGATGCTGGCCCTACGCAGGAATCGGCCACTGCTGGTGCCGACGTCCCAGCACCCGACGCTAGCACTGCCACTGTTTCTGGCTCTCTTGAGGCTTCCAAAACCGACGCATCCGGGACCAAGGATCCCCCGTCGCTTGAGGCTTCCACTCCCACTATCGACGCCAACGGAACCAAGGATCCCCCCTCGCTTGAAGCTCCCAATACCGACGCAAACGGAACCAAGGATCCACCTTCGCTTGAAGATGCAACTACCGAGGCTGAGGTCGCTGCACATGACGCCAAAGGAACCCCATCTTCTGCGCCTGACCCGCCGGCTACCGGCACCATCAATGCTTCAGCCTCTGCATGCACACCCGCAATCACTGCTCCAGGTGACACCGGGGTCATCCTCGCGAACGCAGAGCCCAGTGCAACTTCTGGCAGCGCTGACGAGACCTATATTGAACAGACGAGCCCGCAAGCGAAGAACATGGAGCCGTCAGGTCAACAAATGAACGTGAAAGAAGAATCTGATGGACTAGCAAACAACAACGATTCCGACCAGGCGAGCGCGAAAGCGAAGAAGATGGAGCCGAGTGGTCAAGAATTGAATTCGAAAGATGCGTCTGATGGACTCGCAAGCGTTGCCGCTGCCGCCGAGCAAGAAAATGAGATGTCTACGCAGTCAGAGAGTCGCCCTGCAGAGCCACGGGCAGAGAGGCCAAAGGACGGCGAGGGAAGGGCGTCAAGAGACCCCCCGGTCGCTGAAGAAGACAACACAAATGGCCAACCTGGTTTCACTCAACGAAGTGAACATGAAACCGTGGCTGTGAAAACCGATGCGGAAGAAGCTGAGGAAAAACAACAACAACCACAATCCCCCGTTGTAAAGATGGAACCTGATTCCGCCAGGATGGATACTAGCTCAGACTCTAAGGCAGAGGAAGAACCCGAGGAGCCCATCGAAGAGAGTATGGGTAGTTTTGACGACTTTTGCCAACATACCAGAAACTCTACCAGGAAAAGAGCACGATTGTATGGAAAGTTCATTGTGGCAAAACACTGGCCAGATAAGACCAAATAGACTAAGCTGCACCTTTTAATGTCTCTCTATCTACTTCCGGTAGCTAGATGTGTGGATTGGCTTGGACTGGTGCTAGCTAGTCGGCGGTGTGTTTTTGAAATGGTGGCTCCTACTGCCCATTGTGGCTCTTCTACCTCGACATGGAAGTGGCTCGCAGACAACCATCCATCTTTGGCTTTTTATCTGTTGCGATGTTTACTGTTCCAATTCTTGACCCATCTTGCTCTCGAAAGATCGCTTCCGCTTTTCTCGCTTCTCCAACTCGCTGATGGCAGCTTCGATTTCTGCCTCTGGGAGTCCGGCCATTTTTTCTCTCAGGAGCAGATTTTCTTTGGACCTATCCAATCCTTCTTTAATATTCCCGACATTCTTTTGGAACTCATCAATTCCCAGGAGGGAACCTTCTCTCTCTTCATCCCAAGATGCACTTACAATGGAATAGGTGATGCCCTAGGTGTGCGAATGCAAAACAAAAACAAACTTGTCAGATCAAGCGAAAGCAGGCAGATGTACCAAGATTATCGTTCGATTTCATCATGTATTTTCTTCACGTACCAATAACCCAGATGCCAGTATCACAATGGTCGTCGTGGCCACCATACCAGGCTGGAATTCCATATCCTTATAGGTTGCAAAATACCAAAACCCCACAAAGGCACCCAAGGAACCAAAGAGTGGAATGCCCACAAACGGCAACATTCGCTTGCCCATTCTCATGGCCACCTTTTCAGGAATGGCGGCAGCTTCAGGGGACTCTTGCAGCATTTGATCCACTTCACGGATTTCTTTGACACGTCGCAAATCCGCGTCCTTCTTTTCGGCTTGTTCCCGACGCATGGCTGCCAGCATTTTCTGTCCTTGGTTCATTTCTTGCTGTGGGTTATCGGCAGTTCGATCGGATTGTTCCGACAAAGAATTGGTTGTGGCCAACGTATTGGGCATGGCGGGTGTTCCCTCCACGGGAGCTGCCGGTTCTGGCGTGGTGGCAATGGGAGTAAACGATGCGGATTCTTTCTTTGGAGGGGCCGTAGCAGCTTCCGAGGCTCCAAATCCCTTGTTTTTATTACGTTTGCTCTTCTTCTTGGCCATAGACAGCTCTGTCGAGGAAACATAAAGACCATGGCGAGGTGTCACTGGTTGGAAGGCATTTGTGTTGGCGCTGATCGCCAGCAAAAGGACCACAAGGATCCATGAGGTCGTAGTGGTAGTCATCTCTCTTTTTACGGCGGATTCTTCTGTGGGATTCAGAGTTTCTGCTTCGAGAAAGCTAGCTAGCAAGATTCTGCGACTCCTTGGGCTCGATAAGGATACAATGCACTTCTTTACTGTCGCTTGAAGGAAAAAGATGGAAGAAACAAGCCTTTGGCTCCACAAAAGTTCAGAGGAGTTGACAACCAAAAGTGCGTGGTTGAAGCTGCGAGAGGAGAAAGATGAAGCCGAGCTGACGAGTGACGTCACGTTCCACATGAAGGTTCAGGTTAAATCTGGAGTTTGCACCCGGCAATAAAGATCGTCGACAAACCAAAGAACAGAACAAGCAATGTCTCTCGACCATGTCAATAACATCATCCAGCAACAACCCCCGCAACCATGGTGCCACCCGCGGCCACCCTCTGCTGGATCAAAAGGACATCTGGGTCAACAGCATTCTCCCTTTTGTGGGCATGGGACAATTTGCTCTGGTGGCGCCAGTGAGCCGCAAAATGAAGGATTTCTATGCTGCTTTTTGCCATTCTGTGGAACATCCTCCGCAGTTGACAACCGAATTCGAAGACTCTAGTAGAGCAACTGCTTCCCATACGTTCTATAGCACAGTCTTTGCCAATGTGACCTTGGCGGAGCACTGGTACAACAACTATTTTGCCAGCCTGGATATCCGGCAGAAACGGGAGTGTCTAGATTCCTTTTCTCGTGGGGTTTGTGCCACAGCTGCCAGGGTTGGGAGTATTCCAGTTCTTCAGTGGGCCCACGAAAAGCAGTTTGATTTGGATCAAGGGACGTGTTTGGAGGCTGCAAAAAATGGGCATTTGCAAGTACTAAAATTTGCCCGTCTGGAACTTGGCTGCCCATGGGATAGCCGTGCATGTGAAGAAGCTGCTGATAATGGACATTTGGAAATACTCAAATGGCTTCATGAAAGTGGTTGCCCATGGGATGCCCTTACTTGCTATCAAGCTGCAGAGCATGGTCATCTGGAAGTCTTGAAGTATGCCTATCAAAATGGCTGTCCATGTGATGCATGGGCTTGTAAGCAAGCATCTGAAAATGGCCATTTGAAACTACTAAAGTATCTACACGAGCAGGGTTGTCCATGGGATCAGGACACTTGCTCTGGTGCTGCCAATGGTGGGCACTTGGCAGTGCTGGAATATGCCCATGAAAATGGTTGCCCCTGGAATGAAATCACATGCAGCAATGCTGCGTCAAAGGGGCGTCTAGATATCCTCCAATATGCCCATAATAATGGTTGTCCATGGGATGAAGACACATGCAAGTGTGCTGCTGAGAATGGCTATTTGGGAATGCTACAATTTGCTCATGAAAATGACTGTCCCTGGGATAACAGTACATGTGAAGAAGCTGCCAAGTATGGACATTTGGATGTCCTGAAATATGCTTATGAGAATGGCTGTTCTTTGAATAGCAGTGCATGTGAAGAAGCTGCAGAAAATGGCCAATTGGAAATCCTAAAGTTCCTTCACGAAAGCGATTGTCCTTGGGATGGTAACACATGTTTCTTTGCAGCGGAATGTGGTCATCTGGAAATTCTGAGATATGCACATGAACATGGATGTCCATGGAACGAAGAGACGTGTTATGCAGCAGCTGCTGCTGGTCATTTGCAAATCCTGAAGTATGCCCATGAAAATATGTGTCCATGGGATGAAAGGTCGTGCCAGTGGGCTGCAATGAATGGCCACATAGAAGTGCTAAAGTATGCCCGTGAGAATGGCTGTCCTTGGAGCAAAGAGACCAGCAGGATTGCTGCTTGCTTGGGATATTCTGAAGATCCATCATGAGGGCAATGATGAATTCTACTAGCTAGTTTGATAAATGCAATCGCTCTTACGGCGGGTTCTGCTGAGTACTAGATACCAACCTATTGATTAGCTTTCTCACTTTTGCCCGAGGACCAGGCCTCTCGTGTCCTCCTCCGTATCACGCATGCCAAATAGGTAACGTTGACGCCATCACCGGAAGAAAACAGTTCATGGAAGACCGATTCGGTTTCTCGTCGCACAGCCTCCAACTCGGTTTCTGTTGCTCCAGCGCTTTGGACAGCTTTTGCGTGAATGGACCAAAACATGTCAGATGCTCCTTGGATTTCATTACTCTGTTCTCCTCCGTCCGTTCCTAATCGTACATTGTAAGTCTCCACGTCGCCCACCAGGGCCAAGAGGGCCCCAGGTCTATCACGAGCGGCGGCATCATCACTGGTGATTTGTATACTGGCAGCCAATGCCAAGGCATCTCGAACATCCTGCTTGGTACGAAGATAGTAGGGAAGCAGAGTTCGTTCCAGCACTTGCGGACGTATCAATCCCCTTTGAATGCATCGATGCATGGCCAGGGTCAACACGGAGTATTGCTGATTGTCGTCATCTTTCGGTGTACGTGGAGTCACAAAGTCGTTGGGTTGCGATACCATCAGGAGTACCATTTCGCCGCCTGGTTTGAGTTCTCTTGCCCGAAAAGCGAGAAATTTGGCCAAGTGTCGTTGTGCCAATTCTCGGTAGTGGTCTTGTAGATGGCTGGGTGTAGTTGCCTCGTTCATAAAGGTAAAGTCTGGTGATGGGTTCTGCTGTTCTGGGCCTTGTTGCAATAGCTTCCATCCCGGTGTGTCACTGGTCCCTTCGAGAGGAGGATCAGTGGTATCCAACCAATGAAGGCAAATGTAGCTCATAAACAAATCAACTGAATCAGGATCAAAGAGTGGTTCGTAAAAGGATTTCATCAATACGGAGTAGCGAATGTTGTTTCTATGAAACCAATCGTCATGAGACGCAAGAGTGGCTCGCAAGAACTGTTCGTTGCTGACTGGATGTTCTTCAAATGTCACCTGGAGAGGAGGAAGAGTTCCTTGTGGAATATGTTGCTGCAGGGTCCACACAGCCCATTTTAATGTCAGCATCGAGTTGGAGCCGTCGGCGGATCCCAAATCGACAATGTGTCGACGCTGATCGTCATCCGCGTCCTGAAACTGCAGACGTTGGGACATTCTTTGCAGGACAGCTTCTAACAAGTGCTGACACTGTCGATGGGCGCTGTATTGATGGATTGAGTGATCGTGGTACGATTCTGTCTTCATGGTACTACTGCTACTCATGCTGTTTGCACTGGCACTGTTGTCCTTGGTTGTCATGAAACGCATATTTTGACTTGGTTTTGGACACCATGATCGGCAGGATGCACATGACAATTGATTCTGCAGAGACAAAAGGGTAACCAAGGTCCTCCTGTGTTGTTGTGGAGACAGCACCAGCTTGGAAAGGAACATCTTCACGGCTTGAAAGCTCTGGAACCGCAATGTGATTTCATCAAAATTTAATCCAGATCTTCCCTTCCGAGCTTAGGCAAGAAAAAAAGATTTGTCTCCAAAAGGGGATTTATTGAATGCATGTCTCAAGCTCTTTTCAAAGTAGAGACAGACTCAGCTTCAAAATTTCGACCGTTCCGAGTTCCGAAACAAGAAAGCCAAAGTGATTGATGACGAAGCCAAAGCGATTGACCATGACAAAAGCAATGGGAAAGTCGTTGCAGAAGCAGTCAAGCCCATACAAGAACCCTCGAATGAAAAGACGAGGAGACACAGCTTGGTGGGATCTCAAAGCACAATCCAGCAAGCTAGAGAAGTAGAGTTAAAACTCGATCCATGTTCTTCACAATGTTTGAATCACTGTCAGATCCCCACAAGCGACGAGGGCCCATCTTTGCCATCTTGTGGTTTGTACGTTTGGATTCCGTTTGCGCAACTCATCTTAGGATCTGCAAGAATGCCGAGATATTAGATATTCTCATCCATCTATATTGACTCGACTCAAATCATTTGTTTACATTCTATCAACAGGTCTGGGTTTTTGTGGGAACCATTTTCTTCGCTCTGGCTCCCCAGTCTGACTTGGGATGGGTCAAGGGTTTCTACATGGCAATCAATGTGGGATATTCCATTGGATTTGGGTACCCCGCAGAAACCAACCTGAATTACCTCTACTTTTCCAGTTTCTATGTCTTGGTGGGGTCGAGGTGCGTCAACGCTGTTTTAGATTACCAGGTACCGGATGGCTTGAGTTCTCACTTTTAACCATGATGTGCCATGCTCTCGCACTGTATGTACAAACAAATGAACGATGATCAACGTCCTCTATCAACAACCTTTACACCCAACGACAATAATCACCCATCTTACCTATCTGGTGGCCAACAATCTACACGGTATCTGATACCATCCACGGCTTGAATCTGGACGACAGTTTTGTGGCAGTCGCCTTGGGTTTCTTTGCTGACAAGATTAGTGAAGATCATGACAATTGGTTCACCAACTTGATCCAACAGAAAGACTATGAGGAGGCATTCAAAGGGGGAGGAAGCTTCGCAAGTAAGACCGGTGCAATCTTTGATTTCTACGCTCCCACGGTTCGGGCGGTGTCAGTGTGGCTGATTGCCTTGGGGATCATGATATCCTACAGCATGCTGGAAATTGGATGGTCCTATGCAGAGGCACAATATTTTGCCATTGGTACACTCAGTACAGGAGGATTGTGGCGGATTCCTGATGACAGCTCAAGCTGGATGTTTGGCGTCACAGGCGTCTTTGCCATGCTTGGAGTACCCATTTTTGCAGTGGCTGCATCAGAGGTTGCCAGAGGGCTCATGGACAAGGGGGATTTGGAAGCCACCAAAGGGTCTGTCAATGAACCCGTCACAGCCGAAGAATTGATCATGCTGCAAAATTTTGGATTGGAGAGTAAGTTCGGTAGCTGCAGTTTGTGATATTTGCAGGATGTTTTGACTGACCAATTCTTCCGTGGTCGGACACACCTACACACACAATACACAGATGGTGATGGGGAGATTGATCGAGCAGAATTCATCATTTTGTGCATGGTTCGAATGGGGACCGACCCAAGCTTGATAGAATTCATATCACATCGATTCCACCAACTAGATGAGGATGGAGGAGGAACACTCTCCATCTTGGAAATTACAGCTGGGAAATATGAATTCATTGATGGGCAAATAAAGGCTGTGATACCTGACGGCAGACCCAAGAGCAATATTGTATAGAAACACTAACCACAAGGTTCGAAAAGGGCGATGATCAGCCCAGCTCACGCCTTCCCATTCGTTCCCGTCGCCCAAAAGGAGCTACCTGTACCATTGAAAGTATCAACAATGTCTTCATGCTACCGGTACCGTAGTTCCTGGCCAGAGTAGCCAGCTAGCCAAGGCTCTTGGTATCTTTCCTCGTCAGAGCTTGACGTACTGGTGCATGTGTTGGCATTGTCTTCATGTATCCGTTTCCTGTGGTCCACTCACATGTGACGACGACGTAATCTCTGCATCAGCTCCACGTCACGCAGTGATCTCTCACCACAAGGAACAAATTAAATTTGTGCAAAAAATGCCCTTGATAATGGCTTAAGTGTTTTTGGAGGCTGTCACGTTTTGGCATTAATGTCCTCAACAAAACTGTCCTCCAGACATCTGGTGGATTTAATGCTCTTTTTGTCCAGGTGTTCGTGAAAACCTTATGAAACCTTTCCAGCCATGCATCCCATCACCACTTGCCGTTTCAATGGCATTTTCGGTCCCAAGCTTCCCCGGTCTCGCAACGAAATACGTTCCGCACAACGGAGGCGCAGCAAAGAAAGGAGCTCAGCAGTTGTTAGTGGATCGGAAGGAACATCTTGTCTGAATTAGCAACAGATACTCAAGTCTCTTGCTCGTGGCGTTGGAATAGGCGCAGACCAGCCGCGTAGAGTGAAACCACAAAGCGAAGTTTCAGAATCGATCTCCTGATTACCCCTTCGTGGAAAACAAAAGATATACCCTTCAAGATGTGGCACACAATGATGAACGTAATAAGGGACCCGGTAAAGAACCGTGGTCCTCTTTTCTTGGTTATTTGGCTCGCTTGGGTTGTGGTTGGTGAGTAGCTGGACTCCTTTTTGGGTTCCTGGTGCAGCCGAAGTAAAATTTTCTCTAACTTTCGTTCCGACTCTCTCGGCCTCTCTTTCAGGATTTTTCTTTTATTCCTACGCCCCCAAAATGAACCTTGGCTGGAGGAGAGGATGGTACAGTGAGTTCGTTTGGAAGCTTTTATTAACTGCCTCTATGCGCGATGGTGACTGTTCTGCAAGCCTGGCTTACTGATGTGCGCTTCCATCTCTTTTCTTCCAGTGGCCATCAATATCGGTTACTCGATTGGTTTTGGTGAACCAGGAGAAGACTACGACCCTTATCTCTGGTTTTCAACCATCTACGTCCTGGTAAGTGTTTCTGGAAGGAAGTTATCCGAATGTGGACACATGAAGTGTGGGATGAAGAGGCATTTTCGTTCTTAGAGTTCTGACTCGTTCTTCCGCTTTCCTCGTCCATCGTCTTCCCGTTGTTGTTACCCCTGTTCAACACCAATATCTCAGATCGGTTCCAGTTTCATCGGTGTGGCTTTGAGTTTCTTTGCTGACAAGATTGGAGAAGATCACGACAATTGGTTCACGAACTTGGTCCAACAAAAGGCCTATGAAGAGAGTATCCGAAATAGCAGGGACCCTTGGGTCCTCCTCAAAGCTATTTATGTGCAGTACGAGGCTATCATTCGTGCCATAACAGTCTGGGTCATTTGGATTGGAATCATGATTGTGTACTCCATTTGGGGTCTTGGCTGGTCCTACGTCCAGGCCCAATACTTTGCCATTACCACGCTCAGTACAGGAGGTCACTGGGGTTTGCCCGTGTATGCTCCAGATTGGATGTGGCCCCTCACGGCTTTCATGGCTATGCTGGGTGTTCCGTTAATGGGTGTGGCCATGGCACAGTTGGCTACACTCATGGTGGATCAAGGTGACATCGAAGTCACCAAGAAAGAACTTGTGGAAGATGTCACGGGTGAAGAGTTGCTCATGTTGCGCAAGTTTGGACTGGAAAATGGTGATGGTGTGATTGACAGTGCAGAATACATCATTCTTTGTATGGTGCGCATGGGACAAGACCCCTCACTGATTGAATTCATCTCGAATCGATTCAAGGAGTTGGATGATGATGATTCTGGATATCTGACCATTGAAGAGATCACAGGTGGAAAATACTTCTTGAAGAATGGACAGATTGTGTCCAAGGTGGGTGGTGTTCTTGGAGTCAAAGGAGTGAAGCAATTCAGCATGGCAAATCTGCATGTGGAACTAAGCAGCAGCTCTGAGGGAGATGACAAGGAAAAGGGTGGCTTGGAGGCATGATGATAGGCTGACTTGATTGATGAATACTAGTACTCTCTCGGTCAACAGCATAGTGATGGATGTGGAATGTGTGTGGTAGTGTAGTAGGAAGCAAACAATTGGATGGAACGATGATTGATTTTGATAACAGTGGACGACGCCGTTTCAGTGGACGGACGGCTGTTTTGTACCACACCAAGCCTCAGTACAAACAAACCAATCGCTCTTAGCGCCATGATGGACAAGAAGTCTCTCGTACTATGGAGCTTACTGATGCAGAACATTTTATAATTATAATTAGAATGAATATTTTTAGCAGACGGACTCGGTGATACATAGATGGGAGTTCGGTTGCATGAGAAATGCAAAACACCGTGCCGCCTCTCCGAGAGTCGAGGGCCACGATCCCCGAGTTTCAAACAGCCTCAACTCAAACCTTTTATCTCCTCACCTTCGATTTGACTTTGTGTGAGAGTTGACCGAGGCCGTACCAAGGCAAGCTGTTGACGGCGGTGCAGCCGGGCGCCCTCGACCTTCCATCAAGCAACCTCGATATACCTTACATTCAGAAACCGTTGCTTTGCTTGGCCCTTTCAAGATGTTGTCTACGTCAAGCCAATTAGGGCTAGCTTGATAGCGGTACCGACAAAGCAACATCACCCGCATGAAGTCAAAAAAGTGTATTATTTATCTACGACAACGTCACGGGAACAGGCCAGCTCCCCCACATTCAAGATTGATACCCTACTCCCACGTTTCCGATAGTGGCATTTCTCTGTATGCCACTCTTCTTTCCGGCCAAGCCTAACAAAATATATATAGTAACCATGCATCTTGTGTTTTGTCATCTGATGGAACGCCGCACACGAAATGGAACCTTTCCAATTGGCCTCCTCTCTCGTACACATCCCGAACCATCCGAACCACCTCTCTCCTCATCTATCGTCTCCACCGCACGCCAAGACAAACTACATAAATGTAGATAGTAAAAAACTGTACGCGTCTCGAACAAGTGCTCGCGCCGCCAAAGCGGACCACGTTCGACGACACCCCTATTTTTCCACCTCCCCATTCTCCTTCTTGCATCACAATCGCACAGACATGAATAGTTCCAGAAAAACCCCACCAAAGACCACAGCCGACAAGGCCGAAATCTTGGTAGCCTTGAACTGACCACACCATCCTCCTGCGCGTCAATGCCTAACGGCACCGGCGGCGAAGACTCCTTCGAGTGGCCATGGGCTCCGCGGCCCTCTTCTTCGTTTCTGCGGGCGCGCGTTTCGTGACGGAGGCACGTTTCTTGTTCTTCTTGCTAGGATGGTTCTTCTTGAGGAAGATGGCCTCTTCTTTGTCACGCCTCACCTTCTGTTGAGGAGTGAAGTCCGTGACCATCAAGTTGATCAAGGAAGGTTTCGACCTGAGCATGGTCCAAATGACATCCAGGTCACTGATAGGTTCATCTCCGGTGGCTTCGGCTTGATTGTTTTGGCTGACGAGAAAGTCAACAATTTGCGAGGCACGCGTGTCATCTCTCATGATCAAATGCTGACGCCATCCTCCCTGGTTCAACTTGCAGTAGAGCAAAATGTTGTAGGACTCTCGCCTTTCTCCTCCGGGTGTGATGAACTTGATGTCTTCGACGGTCGTGTTGGTTTCGAGTGCCTTTTCAAAAGCCTCTGTTGTCTTTTTCAATCGATCCAACTTGACTTCTTCCTCTTCATCGGATTCTGATTCATCGGAATCCCACATGACACGACGCAAGGGGCCGGCTCCATTGTTGGCAGTACGCTGCGTATTGCCGTAAATGTCGGTCCAAATTTGCGGACGAGCCTTGTGAGGATCCGTGTTGTGGAATTTGAGATCGAGTTTCTTGAGAGATCCGTTTTCTCGTGCCAACGCTTTGGCAATGGGAATGGCTTCCGTGAACTGCCCTAATTCCATCGTCATGGAGCGCAAATGCTTGTTCTTTTTCAACATGTTGGCAACAATCGTTCCAGCCCCAGACGGTCCGACAGACTGATGAATGGTGAGTTCTTGCAAGTTGACATTAGTCTTGAGGGCGTGGAACATTTTGGGAAAGGCATCACCGCGGGCGTCGTGGACCGTCTGTTTGCCGGACATGCGAAGGACTCGTATCTTGCTGTTTTCGGCCGCCACATGTTCCAATCCAGGAGTGGCCCAACTGGCATACCGGAGCGCGACGTCTCGAATGACAGGATTTGCGGAAATGCCGTCGAGGATGGGATGGAGTGGCACCAGCGTCGGGTTCAACGAGTTAATGTTGAACAGCGACATGCGGTCCAACGTAGGATGATACTTGAAGCAATTGCTGAGCATGACCAGTTCTTCCATCGATCCCTTCAAACGCATCCCATTCAACAAGACAAATTCCAATTTACGAGCGTTCGACAACAACAGCGACAAGGCGTTCATGGGAAGCCAAATAGAACCCGTCGAGTAAAAGTGGATCTCCAAGCGTTCCATCTTCGTGAGCGTTTCCCCCACCGCGCGAAAGGTCGTAATCATGCCATCGTCGTCCATGCGACGAGCTGCGCGTGGACTTGGAGATACAATACACACAATCCTAGCGTCCTTGTGACGATTGATCTCGTTCTTGGCCATGCGGGTGCTGTGGCCCAATACCAGGTTCAAAGATTGGGGAGTTGCCGTTGCCATCTTATTCCACGGTACGACAAAATGATTCAATCAAATCAATCAAAGCAATTGCTGCGGCTGCTGCTGAGTTGGGTGTAAAAATGGATCCTATGGTGTTGGACTCCAGTTCATCAACAACGATAGTGTCAGCCGCTAGCTAGTAGTAAGCAGCTAGAAGTATAAAGGATCGTGGAAAGAGCAACAGATGAGGTTGTGGACACTCATGCAATTACCAATACCGGAGTTGCCGCGAAGTGCCGCGGCTGCAACAGCAGCGAGACGAGCTCCATCCAGAAGCCCCAGAAGAAGGAAAATAAATCCTCCTCCAAAAATATCGCAAAATGACCGCTCGTCGCTTCGCGGTGGCGCAATGTTATAATTAAATTTGACGTTGTTTCTGATAATTGCCCGAAGACACCTTTATTAATAACCATTATTTCAATAAGTCTCATCCATGGGGTGGGAAACAATTACTTAGCAATCGTAAAACATAGTCGAGTGACAGTAATAAAAAAAGAAGCAGTCCTCAGTCAGCAGCTGCTCCCGTAAGAACCTGGTCGCTTTTCAAGGATGAACGCAAGAATAATTGATCGACCCAACACGATCTTCAATCACCCCCGTTGACACGTTCCGAGTTGTCCTTTGCTATTGGAGTTCGCTGTTGTTCTGTACCGTGAAACAAATCCTACCACCGGTCACCGGTACTACAACCAAGAGCACGGCAGCTCACGAGTTCAGAGAGTTCCTCTAGCTAGGCAACTCTAGTTAGCTACCAATAGTTTGCTTTGACCTTCTTCTTCCTGATGCAACTTTGACTTTTAGGGATACCCTTCCTCCGCTTGCTATCTCAGACCCAGAACGGAGGATGGACCTAGATCCTTATGGCTGGTACAAAGTAAGAGTGCATGCATGGCAGAAAGGAGTTTGTCCTTCTTTTCCTCAGACAACTTTCACTTGTGGGGGCTACGTTCCTCCGCATGCAATCTGAGAAAGTCAGACCTAGTATCCAACCGAAACAACCACAAGGAGTACGAACTGCTTGCACGTTCAATCCTCAAAACGCTGCCACTCTGCCACTACTAAAGCCAGTCAAACGATATTGAAGGTTCTCTTCGTGCATGTACCGGATACTATTTGATGCTTGGGAGCAAATAAAATCCTGATATCTTTACCAGTACCAATATCAACAGTTCTTTTCTTCGTTTCTACAATACCATGGAACTACTCTAGCTAGCTAGAGCTCTGGAGTTGGTACTACTCGCCACGCAGCTGGCAGCCAAGATGACACACTGTTTTCACGCTCGAGCTTCTAAAAGAAGGGAATTCCTGGAGGGAACTCGCTGGGTGAACACCAGCTGAATACCCCACGTGGTTGACGACCACAAAAGAGACCTTCAACATGTGAGATTTAAGCGTCAACCATCACGTGTATGCACACGAGAAGTCTGCATTTCGATGGATAATCCACTTTCAAGAAGCAGCAGGTGGGCGAGTGACACTCCTTTCTCCTTTCTTCTTCACCGAAACCATCCATAAGAAAAGCCAATTTACTTTAACAGCAAAATCTTTATCTATTAATACCGGTACAAGGAGGCATATGTTAGTTTTGTCCCTTAGAGGGTCACTGTACAAGCGAACCGCACCATGACTGCGGCCGGGAAATCTTCCCGAGAGGCAACTTTATTAGACAACCTTTCAATTTCTACAGGTACGTGTAGTCTTGCTCCTTTGGGGATGTGCGCAACTGCTGGCTGCATCTACCTTTACAGTCGCCTCTCGCGAGAGACAGCTTGGGCGCCCAGTGGTCAGCAGCCCCCTTTAAGCAAAGAACCTTTGAGACTTGCCCAGCTTCAGTGTACTGGTACCGTAGATTCTTCTCTTTCGTTTACGGTTTCTCTCCCAGCTCCAAGCCTGTCCTAACGACGAAGTGGATACTGGTAGCCAATTGTTTGGTGAGGAACACGGCTATCAAGGGTTGCTAGCTAACCTTCTGGCAAGCTGGCAGTGTCTGCCAGAAGGCTTCTTGATCAGTTTCGATTCCTCTTAGATTCAGAAGGATGGAAACCGTGGGATGAATATTTTTTTGGCTATTCCGATGCTTTTTCCGTGAGTCTACTTGTTCATTATTTTTCGACGTGTGACGAATCATTCGAATCAAGTCTTTGTTGCAGTTTACGGCAGAGAGAACAGAGCACAGAGCAGAGGCAGCTGTCTTGCTCTTGGAGGAAGTTGGAGGCTTGGAGTCTGCATAGCTGCATAGGTCTACATGTAGTAGCGTAGTATGGATGCTCGGAGCCGGAGCTGTTGCTTCGCGCTTGCCCAAAGAGGACAATTCGAATTCGGTCTTAGGCACGGTAGTTCTATTGGACCAGCAATTTAGTTCACAGTTCACAGCAGCACGGCTAGTATTAATAGTATTAATAGAGCTATTAATTAATAGTACGCTGTACCGAAACTAGCCTACTTGCTTGGTGTCATCTCTAGGAGTACGTGCTACCGGTAACCACATGTGAGCCATGAAGAAAACCTTGAAGTGTGTCTTAATTAACAGCTGTCTTACCAATGTTCCAGTCTGCTCTGCTCCTCTGCAGTATCGGAATAAACGACATAATGGGTTACCTTTTTGGGCAACCATTGACTGACTGCTAGCTAGTACGTGGTCTACCTACGTGAAAGAACCGGTGGCACCCATTCGGCAACCGAAAAGAGCACACAAAGAAGGTGGATGGAAATGACGCATGCCACTTGGAAATGTTCAACATTGTATTGAGTATTCATATTCGAATAATCTTCACCGCAGTTCTAGTCTACCTTGAATGTTTGAAGATTCAAGACTTGATACCGGTAGCGGTCCTTTGTAGTCCCCACTTCCAATCTTCCTTTGCCGGCACCCACCCGCTCGCCTCTACTAGTACGTCCTCCTTTGTGGATTCATCATTCGATTCACGCTTGTTTTCGAAGTACATATGTCATCCAGAAGTTTCAAGGAGTTTGCCATTCCGATGAAACACCTCAATTCAAAAACTCGGGCGTTGGATGGTTTAGCCAATTCACGAATGACGTTCAAAGAACCGAAACGCAGCCTCATACACATAATCCGGCGTCCAGTGACCTGCCGTGAAGGCGCAATCCACAGAGAAAGGGCTGTCTCCGGGGCACCATGTTTTGCACTTGACTTGATCAGTTCCCGCTTCCCATTCTAAGGAAGGAAATGCACGATCTTGAACGCGGCACCCACCGGCTTGGGCAAAGGTGCTGGTGATGCGATGACTGGAAACGTATTTGTATCCCTCTCCATCGCGGTTGGTAATGCAAACGTCGGCTGGATTTCCTGGATAGGGCAAGTTGGACGGAGATACGGTCTGGTCGTCTTTGGACATGAGCGAAATCGCGGGGACATTGCCCGGGAGATTGTAATCGCAGTGAGGAAGGCCAATCATGGGAGCGGCCGCTGCAAACAGTGCCGACGTTCGGTTATCCTGTACCAATTCCCATGTCATCATGCCTCCATTGCTGGCTCCCATGACAAAGACTTGACTTGGATCAAAGCAAACAAAGTCCGAAAGGGAGTTGATGGAGCCGCTTGCGTGTGCATCCAGAATGTCGTAGACGAACTGGACATCATCATCCTGGCAGTGCGTCCATGAGCACCGGTTTTGGCAGATGCTAGCCGCAGAACAGGATGGATAGCAATTGTCGGGACTTGCCTGGGATGTATCACAGGTTGCAGCTCTGCCACTAGAAACAGTGTCTTCGTTTGCTGTCACCTGCAATCCCAAGCCATCGGTGGATCCCTTGATCGACCAGGAATTGCACATCCCTTCGTTGTCTCCCAAACCATCCGGGGCTACCACAACATAGTTGAAAGCATCTGCTGCGCGACGAACATCTTCATCCAGAGTCCAATCGCTGCCATCTCCACACCAACCATGCAAGGCAAGGACAACTTTGGAGGGTGAGGAGGTGTTGTATCCCGAGGGCGTGTACACTCGATAAGTCCGATCAGGATGCCCATGTCTGGAAAAAGTTGTGATTTCGTTCCCATAGAACGTTGGCCTTGTCATGTTCTGCTGGGTACACAAGTGAGGGAAAGATGAATGCATTGTGGAAGCATTTAAAACGAAGGTTGAATTCACCAGAGATTGCATGGCGACGAGATAGTCAGGTTGTGGTCTTTGTCCAGCGTACTTGTGAACCGAAGTGAGCAGATGCTCATTGCGATGACTGGTTGAAAGCAAGCAAGCAATTTTTTGTAAAGATTATGCCACCAGAGCGGACTTGCTTGTTCACTGCTACTGGCTACCTGGGCGAACAGGATAATGCTGGAGCTGGTTCCTGGGCAGGAACCCACTCTTGCTTGGTTCATGACTCGCTCATGGCACTCTCGTAATGTAGCAATGGTCGCAGGGTTGCAGACTTGAGACCTACCGTAGCTAGCCAACCTAGCGTAAACAGCACAACAATGACATGTTCTCCAGAGACGAAGAATGTAGAAAACAGAAAACTGGAGCCTGCCTACTCCTTTGGCTTGATGTAGCGTCTGCAACCCACAGCCAAACCTAGCTAGCTGGCGAGCTAGCGCACTACATGACATCCGGCAATAACAAAGGAAAGAGATATGCTCGACCCTCCAGGTGAACATGGTTAAGCTAACTCAAGCAACCACGTGATACTACATGTACGTGATTGCCACCACGATGGAGCCAATAATCCGATCCCACGTCGCCCCAGCATCAACCATCATCCATCATCTGCAGCCTACCGGTATACCGGTATCCGCAGAATCAATCGAGCTGTCAGCGGTTGCCGGAGAAGATTGCGGTAATGACTGTACGAAAACTTCCCCTGGAAGTTTCAGCTTGCGATCTTCTCTGCTCCATTTTTTTCTAATCACCTGTTTCCCCACATTGATTCTGTGGGTTCTCCTTGATTATCACAATCGATCTTGTGTGATCGTGTGAAGCTTTGCGAGCCAGAGTGGAGTACAAATGCATTAATGATTCAAATGTCTTGAAAAGCTTCAATTAAATCCATGTGCAAGCAACGTGCAACGTTAGTCTGACGAAGACAACTACTGGAACTCGCCTGCCAGCCCGCCAGTATATCCTTACCGTAGGTCTGGTTGGTTGGCCAGGATAAACTAGAGCATCAGCTCAATGAAAAATCGTTTTTTTTTAAAAACAACTTATCCTTCAGGCGAGGTCCTAACCACATGTTTGTTGCTCCGCGCATACGCGAAAACAAGATAACTGTTAAAGTCGGCTGGCTTTCCCTCTTTTTGCCCATTAATTTTGGTACGGTGTATCAGTAATTTTGCATTCTCAATTCGCCGTACCAAAATTATGAGGGAAAAAGAATTCGCGTAGGACCAATCAAAACGCTCGAGCATGCCGAACTCAGTCACAGCCACAATCCCCAACTCTAAATCGCAAATCCCCAACTCTACCGCGTTTCGAAATCGAGAAGTGAGATCTTGATTGAGTTCAACAGAGCCACCAACAGACCGATCTCTACAACCAATAAGATTAACAAGTAGCAGCTCTCAATTAGTTAGCTAGATAATAACCTACTATTACGGATGCTTGTTAACTTCCTTGGTTGTGGAGATTGGTCTGTTGGTAGATAGTTACCATACTGGTAGTAGCTCGGATTAAAGGAACTCGATGGAGGTTGGATTCACATACCCAGCCCTGCTTACTTAAACTGGATTGGGTTGGAGGCAGTTTTGGTCGCCCTGCGATTTTGTGACTTTCGCGTACAGCCGTACGCGTAGCTTCCGAATGGTTAGGACAGAAAACATCATACGTATGCCTAAACAAATAAATCGATGAAAATAAATGTGTTTCGCGTATGCACGTATGGGATCTGGTTAGGACCGCGCCTCAGATTGCTTGGTCTCCTACCAATATGTACAGGGCATCCAGCAAGGGGGTGAGCACTGTGACGATCTAAGACCTCATCAGAGCTGGAAAGCAACATAGAAAGAGGCACATCTAGCATCAGGCAATGCTCGCAGCAGTTCCCACATATGACCTCCAGTGAATGTATTCAGGCATCCTGGATTTGGAAACAGTGTGAATCAGGTTCTGTTGTACAGCCCTGTCTATTAGGTCCCTGCCTCTATCCTAGCTACCATTGGTTCCAACATCATGCTTACTGTACTACATGGATGGGTGCCTGAGATACACCCCCCCTCCCCCCACACACTTACATGGTTAAAGTACTATGTGTCTTGCTTCCTGTTTCATAGACTTGGAGACCTGACCCTATATCTGTAGCTGTCCTCCCTGCTTGGCTAAATGTGCGCTTGCTCCCCCTCCCCCGGTGGATTGCCTTGCTTTGCTACCCCAACTCACCATATATAGATGCCGATATCTCAGCCAAAACTAACTCAACCCTTTTCAATTTGGTTTTGCTTGGAATGATATCTACTTTTTTGGAGAACTCAGAACTGCGGGCTTCTAGTACAATTGTCCCGTCGGGTGTAGCAAAACTGGTTTCTGTGCTATGAGAAGAAGATATTCATGTCACAGAATTGAAGCAAAAACTCTAAATAAAACAAGGCTGTCGTAGGACTTCTACCGATAACTTTTAGGAGCGAGAGCTCTGGATCCCGTCAGAGATAGCTCCAACAGCTATGCTGGCCTACAGTTCCAGCACCCACAGCTGGCTTATCTCCAGCCAAAGCAGCAAGAAAGGATCGTCCTTTCCATCATAGTTAAGAAAATAGTACGAAAGATTGAGACCGATCCTGATTAGCTTGTAGCCCCTTTGATACCGCAGCAGTTGATACCTATCCTGTTGAGGCCGGGCAGAAGCAGTAGGAGGTAGCAGATAGTACTGTTCCCAGACTGCCACTGCACGATTGAATAACGAAGGCCCCCAGCTCCTGAGGAGAGCTGGCCCAAAAGGGCCCAACAGAGAGCTCTGCTGGCCCTCCTGTCTGTCTGACAGGGCCAAGTCCTTGGTTTGGTGCCTACTGGAGGTGTTGGAACACTCCTGAGGCACGACAAGGCCCCCTGAACTGCCTGACTACCGCTGTACCTGAGGAAGGGTTTCAGCGAGGCCCAGTCCACTACTTGAGTATTGGAACTGAACCTTCAAGAAACTTATTGGTAACGTCGGCATCATCGCTGTAGAATGCTCTGAAAAGTCGCTCTTTAATCTTCTTGAAACGGTCCCAAGACATGTACTTCTTGAAGTTGCCCTTGCCATCGAACTTGGACCTGTCGACAAGGAACTCAAAAGGTGAGGTCACTCTCCGAGGATGCTTTGTATCTCTGAAGAGCTTCTCGCCACCCATGTGGTTTGGACAAGCGGCAAAGATAATGCCCCAAGTAATCCAGAATTCTTTCTCAGAGACCAATGAAATCTTTCTCTTTGGATTAACTCTGTTGTGTGCCCCTACGGCAGCATTGAGGTTGTAAAGATGCTTCCTCCAATTGCCTGGCCACAGCTTCTGCAGCAACCTGAGCCAAGGGAAGGAATACTCGCCATCAACGGCAACATCCAGTTGATCAACATTGAATGACCGGAAATCAAAGTCAACAACACCATTAACTTGAAAAGGAGTAGCGGTGGCACCCTCTGGGTGGGAATCCTCAACGAGCGTCCAAGTCATGCGTCTCATATCACGTATGAGTGTCAAGGCCGTGGATGGAACTTTTGGAGATGGCTCTGCCTCATCATCAAACTGGACAACCCAAGTTGGTGGACCACCCTCTTCTCTGTTGCTGTCAAGGACTGTTCCAATTCGCTTTTGGCCATGACGCTCCTGGACTCTTTCCGTGATGTCGATGTTCTGAGACATCGGGGGCTTTCTCTCCACAGTCCATCCTTCACGAAGGAGTCGAGCCTTCGTTTCTTCATACTCTCTCCATTTCTTTGCGTACTTGTCTTCATCTTCCATTCCTTCAACAATCAACATGTCGTTATGATTATAATCACTGGATGGCCATCTTCATCCATGCGGTCAACCTCCGTATGCTGGGGGATATCTTCGGCCATTGTCCGATCCGTGGATTCACAATCTTTACTGTCAGAGTCTTCGCTGCCGCTGGTTCCAATCTGGCTGGGAACGTCTGCTTCGTCGCTCGATTGATGGAGGATAAAGGAATGAGTTGAGGACTGGACCGATCCTTGGTTTGATGGTTGGACGGGTGATTTGTTGGACCGATCATTGTCAGATTCTGTTTCTGGTTGGAGCCTTGACCGTTTCAGTTCGACAAGCTTGGGCAATTAACACCGGCCATTACAACCTCACTGTCGTCGTCAGACTTGGACTCGTCATCCTCGGATTTGGACTTGGAATTGTCATCATCGAACTTGCCATGATCCTTGGGCTTGGATTTGTCATCGTCATTGGACTTGTCATTGTCGTCATTGGACTTGTCATCATCGGACTTGTCATTGTCATCATCGGACTTGTCATTCTTGGACTTAGAATGATCGCTGTCAGGCTTGGACTCGTTGTAGGGTTCCTTGGCTGGAGTCTTCTTGGCTGTTCGTGTCGACGGACACTGTTGGGTTGGACGAGATGTTGCTGGACGTGCTGGTTGAGAAGGAGTTGATGGTGGAGCCTCTTTGTTGTTGGAGGCAGCAGGAGCAGCCGGTGGCTTCTTCTTGTTGCGTTTGTCTGAAACCTTGGCTGGAACCTCGGGAGCCTCGGCTGCTTTGGCTTCTTCCAGAGGCTTGGTTCCTCTTGTTGGTTTGCGCTGCCGACTACTCGTTGCTCTTGACTCTGGGGCCACCTGTGGCTCCGGAAACGTCTCTCCGGCTTTGAGATGCCGGAGTTGTTGAGATTTCAGAGTCCGACCTGGGCCGTCGGGATCAATCTTGTTTCCAGCTTCGTCCACAGGAAAAACAAGCCAAGTCTTCTCGCCGGTTGCCTCTTTGATAATAGCAGGCACATTGCCGGCCTTGATGATGACCTTTACCCCTTTGCCAAAGCGTTGGTTGACCATCTTGACCTCTGGCACGACGAAAGAATGCCATCGTATTTGAAGGTGCGTCCAGTTCGACTGCTGGTAAGGCCACCAAAGGATCCGTTGATGACATTGTCAATAGGCCCTCTTTAAAGTCTGAAGAGCATTCTTCCGTCGTCTGTGCATCCTCATTGCCATGTGATTGCCGCTGGAGCGCACCTTTCGGATCGTTTATCTTCTTCTTCTTGCCGGAATACCAATCCCAAAATATCGAATTCTTTGAGTGGTGGATGGAGGGTTGGCGGCAACTTTCATCTAAGCAAAATCCGTACACGTCATAATACTATATTCGGAATGAATATGAATAAAGCACTCGTTCGCGGAAGATTCGGAGACTGCCGCGCAGTTTCGTGAGGGTTTGGATAGACTATTATTATTTTTTGTTTATGCTACTGGTATCGAAATACGTCGACCAAGATGGCGTTGTTTCTTCTTTCTTTGACAGTTTTGGCAGTGCACGATGATATACTTACCGGTCTTGTGAAGCCGCAGCTTAGTCGTCGAAGCCAAGTTCAGCAAGGATTTCAGCAAGAGGCTTCTCGTGCTTTTCTTCACAATCCAAGGAGAGCTCCAAGGGATGGAGATGGGACGTTTCCTGGGTGAATCCCTGATTGGAGCCATCGACGAAGCAAGTCTTGAATGGAGAGGGTGATCCCATGCTGCTGTCACAAATGGAAGGAGACGCGAAGGGCATGGGGGTGTTTTCGCTCTTGTTGCTCTTGGTACTCTCCGCCGGACTGAGAAATCCAACCTTAGACTTGGCTGCGGGTTTTCCAGACTTCACCATGGGGGTGTCGTAGCCTTCCTTGTAGCCATCCTTGTGGACAGATGGCATGACGAACCTGAGCTCGATTGGAGGGCCTTCCTCCATCGTGAAAATGATCACATCATCTTCTTCGATTTTGACCGACTTGGCCCCATCAAGAGACATCGCCATTTTGATTGGTTTTTGGTTGGATGACATGGTCTGAAAAGGTATGCTTGTTGCCTTGGACGAGCTGCGTTTTGTGTGACCCTCTGCTCATCGGTTCTCCCATCATTGTTCTCACCAAAACTTGGTGTCAGTCCGAGCAGTCGGAGCCATCCAAATTTTCTGGCACATGAAGGAACATTCTTCCCTTTGGCGGGGACGCGGATTCAAACCAATTCAAGCCGATTCAAACCAACCAGATTATGTGGAGCTGGTGCCACACTCCGCACACGCAAGGGGCAGACATTCATCGGCCCAATCCTCATTTTCCACGATGGCTGAGTTTTGGACGGCAGTTGAAGTGCCCCATCCCACCAATGGAGTGGGTGTTCCCAAGCCCATCCTCTTCACACCTGACAGCGAGCGGCCTCGGCAAGCCCATGCCATGGCATCCATCCGCTGGGAAATGTACATTGGATCGAAGCACCACTCCAAGGGTCGAATCGCTTTACAGGAGCGTCACGACAAGAAGAAGTGCATTCCTCGGTTTCGATTTCTCTTGGAGGCTCGACGAATCTCGCTTGATGGTGCAAGAATGAGTGATGCTGTCTACTTCGAAAGTATTCGACTTCCCGTCACGTGCAAGTGGACGACAGAGTTGGATTCCACTGTGGTGAGTACGAACCGTCTCGGCAAGGTTGTTTGTCTTGAATTCCCCCCCAACATGTTTGGCATTAAGAAGGTTCACATCAACATGACGTTGGCCAACAGACACCTCATGTCAGAGGCTGTCAAGCTTGCTGACAAGAACCGCCGCAGCATCCTATTCGGAGGAGCCTGATCCGACAACAACAACAACAACAACAACAACAACAACAACAACAACAAACAAGAAGTGCGCCCTATTGCAGCTGCATCCAACAACAGGCTGCTTCCACGGCCTTTCCGTTTGACGCCAGTGTATTTTGGCGAAAAGTCAGACTTTATTGGGAACTTTATTTGGTCCGCAGTTGCATACATTCTATTTCAAGGACGACAATGGGCATGATGTCGACGCTCATAGCATCAGAACTACTAAACCAATTAACAATGCGATTGTTTCAGCAGCTAGCCCTACTCGTCTACTCCTATTTTGATGCTTGAAGCTGCCACAATAGTGCTCTGTAGCCCAAGCAACAGCCTCCGAGGCAACAAACCTCATTGTCCGCAGTTGCGGACAGCAGTCGCCACAACACTGCGAGGCACTAGAACAACATGTGTTCAATTTCAGTACAACTGGATCTGGAACGGCAGACCAGATGATATGAACATGGGAGAAGATCACCATCTACGTTGGACAACAGATGGGTGACGACATTAGCAATGAGCTACGCAACCTGAAACATACAGTGTTGGTAGCACCGGTGTACTCAGAGGATACCCAGAACAGGCTTGACATGGCGGCGGAACGACGTGAACGGAACAACACTCGTCTCCTAACGGTGACCGAGGAAAGCCTAGAGCTCCTGGAAGAAGAGATAGCCGCGGTCACTGATGACCCTAGGTAGCTTACGAGCCCTAACGATAGAAAAAGCAAAAATCGTCAATGAAATAGCCGACCTTACTGCAGCCCTAGCAGATCCACCGGAAGAGGAACTCCGGGGACTCGAGAAAACAGAGTATGGAGGACTCATGAAGACCCACCTTACGAGGTTGGCAAAACTACAAGAAAATAGAGGCAAAGCATTCAACTTGATCCTAGGGCAGTGCACCCGACTATTAAAGGACAAAATAAAGCAGAACACGGACTACGATGCTGTCCTGCTAAGGTGCGACCCACTGGAGGTACGAAAAATGATTCATAAGACGATCATGGCCCAGACCGATGATAATTTTGTGTACCACACAATATTCCAACTGGAAAAACAACTTTTGAATTTCCACCAAGGGAGCCTTACCGCTTCCGAATACCACGAGCAATTTACCACGAAAAAGGACATTGCAAAATCCGTGGGTATTTCCAAGCTACACGACGCAGCCCTGCTGCATACGGCTAAACTACTCCACCCCGGCACCGCATACGCCGACCTCGGAGCCGCTGACCAGAAGAAAGTCTCGGCATACGCTGAAGAACGGTACTATAGCTACATCTTCTTAACAAATAGTTCAGCCGAGAACACCAAACTTTTAAAAGCAGAACCTGAGGGACGACTTTGCCAAAGGCACTGATAACTATCCCCATACGTTACATGACGTATTACATCTCTTGGACAAACACACCAAGAGTAACACTCCACGACAGTCCACTTCCCACGGAAGCTCCTTTGCTCAGACAGCACAAGGCGGGAGAGGACGGGGTGGTGGCAGAGGAAGAGGCTGCGGAAACGCAGGCTATGACAAAGACTTCTGGAAAGACAAAGAATGCTTTAACTGCCACGAGAAAGGACATCCAGCCACGTACTGTCCTGACAAAGATAAAGATAAAGATACAGATGATGACGACAAGTTGAAACAAAGCAAGTCGAGCAAGCGTAGCAAGTCAAGCACATCGAGCAAGAAAAGCTCTAGTAGCAGTCAAAGGAAGACCCTAGCTACAATCAGCAAAATCAACAAACTGCAGGGTAAAATGCAGAGCGCACTGACAACCCTGGAGGAAGAACATGATAATGCCGACTCTGACATCACGGAGTCAGATTCAAAGAAAGAAGAGAAAGGTTTCTTTACGTTCGTACCGCTGTTCGCGGACGGAACGAAGAAACGCACGACTAAGTAAGGCATAGTCGCCCACACAAAAGGATTGGACGACAAAGATATGAGAGAGGTCCAGCTACTGGACAACCAGTCCACGTTGGATTTATTCTGTAATAAAGACATGGTTACTGACATCAGGAAAGCCGATCGTCCCATTACAGTGAAGAGTACCGGAGGCAAGCTGAAGGTCCAGCACACAGCCAAGCTAGCTGGCCACAAACAGAGAGTATGGTTCGATGAAAGAGGAATCACGAACATCTTATCTGTTAGGAATGTCCGCAAGAATTGCAACATCGTCTACGACTGTCCGAAAGGAACGTACACAGTCATTAGACCAGGCCTACCGGACGTAGTATATGAAATGAACAGTGAAGGATTACACGTTCATGACCCTAGGAAAAAAGGGAAGGCACTTGTGAACACTGTCGCCGAAAATAAGGAAGGCTTCAGCAAACGACAAGTTAAAGCCGCATCAAGGGCAAAGCTGCTGTACAAGCAACTCGTCTATCCATCGATTAAAGATTTTCGATGGGCGATTATGAGCAATCAAATCGCAAATTGCCCAGTGACCGTCGAAGACATCGATACGGCACAAGCTATATGGGGCAAGGATATTGATGCGTTGAAAGGCAAGACCACTCGGAAGAAACCGAATGCAGTGGCAGGCAATGCAATGAAAGTACCGAGAGAGTTTTGCAATTACACAAGGATGTGTTCCTGACGATGGACATCTTCTTTGTGGCAGGAATTCCGTTCCTGTTAACGCTAAGCCGTAAAATAGATTTTACAACAGCTAGACACCTGCCCAACAGGAAGCTAGAGACCATCCTAGAAGCAGTTAAGGAGGTCTATCGATTTTACAAGGCTCGTGTTTTAAAATCACGACCGTTCATGTGGACAATGAGTTTGAGCCTCTGTCCAACACAATCATGGCAATGCCGGGTGGACCGGTAGTGAACGTTGCCAGTGCTAACGAGCACGTACCCGAGATCGAACGCGGGTAGTCAAGGAAAGGACACGAGCTGTCCGGCATAGCCTACCGTTCACACGCATGCCAAAAATATTAACCGTCAACTTGGTGTTACAAGTCGTCAAACAGTTGACGTACTTCCCAAGTAAGGCGGGGGTCAGCGAGACAATGAGCCCCCGTATGATAATCATGGGAGAGTCCCTGGACTATAAAAAGCACCTGAGCCTGCAGTTCGGAGATTACTGCCAGGTGCATGAAGAAGACTCGCCCCGTAACAGCATGGTAGGACGCACAAAGGCGGCCATCTGTATGGGAACGAGCGGAAATAAGCAAGGAGGCTACAAATTTATGAGCCTCCGCTCTGGCAAGAAAATTACTAGGCATTCGTGGGACAAGATCCCAATGCCCGACACAGTGATAGCTAGAGTCAATCTATTAGGAAAAGATCAGCCTAAACTACTCGTTTTTACTGATCGAAAAAATAGACCCATAGGTGATGTCGAGATCACAGGAGTGGAAGGGGAAGAGAGCAATGACGCACCCCCACTACCAATGATCCAAACCGATGAGGACCTGGACGCGGATGCTGAAACCATTGACGAAATGGAAGATGATCCCGACGATCACCAGGTCAACGACGATGAAGAATCAGAGGTCAACGAACCGAATGAAATAGGCGTTGAACCGAAAATCGAAACGATCGAACCGGCTACCCAACCTATCGTTGAGACGGTAGAGGAACCGGAACCCACTACGGACCAACAGCCCCTGGAACAGATCCCAGGAGTGGACGTTGAAGCCCAAGCGGCACCTGAGCAGACGCCAGGAGTGTGCTGGTCCAGTAGAGTGAGGACGCAAGCAAAGGAATCGTATATTCCCAGCTTTGACGGAAAGAAGTATGAGACGCCAAACGTCCATACAAGTGAACGTGTCCTGCACCCAGATGCACCCATGTTCTACACACAGGTAGAGGAAGAATCTGATGTGGTAGCAGCCATCATGACACAGTTGTCATTGAAGGCTGGACTCAAGGAGTGGAAGGACAAAGCGCACGATGCAGCCTTTGCCGAGATGAAGCAGTTACATCTCAGGGATACCTTCCGTCCTAAGAAAATGGAAGAACTCAGCGAAATGGAACGCAAGAGTATCCTAGAGTCACACCTGTTCCTAAAGTTGAAAAGGAACGGGAAGATCAAAGGCCGAGCGGTTGCCGGAGGCAACAAGGAGCGTGACTTCATCTCCAAGGAAGACGCAAGCTCGCCAACAGTGTCGACAGAAGCAGTGCTACTCTTCTGTATAATTGACGCTGAAGAGGAAAGGAATGTGGCAGTAATTGACATCCCGAACGCCTTCATCCAGACACGAGTCGAGGATGAAAAAGATATGGTAATCATTAGAGTAAGAGGAGTACTAGTAGACATGCTGTGTGAAATTGCCCCAGATGTCTACAAACCGTTCGTGACAACGGATAAGAAAGGCAACAAGCAGTTGCTACTGCAATGCTTGAATGCCATCTACGGTACCATGGTAGCTAGCCTACTATACTACCGTAAGTTCCGGAAGACGATGCTCCGGAACGGATTTAAGATTAATCCTTACGACCCATGTGTAGCCAACAGAATGGTACACGGCAAGCAACAGACAGTCTGCTGGCATGTAGACGACTGTAAGCTTAGCCACAAGGACTCGAAGGTTAACGACCAGCTGATCCAAGTGCTTCGTGATGAATACGAAAGCATATTCGAGGACGGCACTGGAGAGATGACGGTGAGCCGTGGAAAGGTCCACACGTATCTCGGCATGACCATAGACTTCACGACGAAGGGTCAATGCAATGTATCAATGTACAAGTACGTTGATGAAATCCTGGAAGCCTTCGAGAAGGCATCGCCAGAGGAAGGGGGCACGAAGACTAGAAGTAGTGCAGCCCCGAAAGACCTATTCACAGTAGACGAATCCTGCAAGAAGCTCCCAACGAGCAAGGCAGACACCTTTCACAGCCTGGTGGCTAAGGTGTTGTTCGCTACGAAGAGAGCCCGACCAGACACAGGTACGGCGATATCGTTCCTCACGACTAGAGTCAAGGAACCGGATAGGCAGGATTGGGATAAACTAGTCCACCTCATGCAGTACATTAGGCG